ACAATTATTATCCTCTATTTCCTATATTGATTTTTGTCAATGCTTCTTGTGTTTTACTATATACCTGTCCTTGTATGTGTTGCATACACCCTGCCAATGACACACTTGTATTCTATATTACACTGTATCATGGACCTGGGTTTTCAATGTTTGTTTTTGTTGTTACGAATATTATTTTGAATAAAGATGAGACATGTATGTATATAATGTATATATTACAAGTGGATAATTATATATATATATAAAATTGTATATATATATATATATATATATATATATATATATATATATATATATATATTACAGGTGTATATATACAAAATTTTGTACAACATAATATTGAGCGGAAAATACAAAAACTATCTATTATACTGAATAGATAATAGTTGAATTAAGAGAAGTAGGCCTTCAATAATGCAAAAGTGGCGTCCGGTGTCGAAGAATTTGACCTTGGAATATCGTCATTCGTAATTGTGGCTAAAAGTCAAATTGTTAGTGTGACAGCCAGTCTATGCTGAATTGATTTTCATCTTTCCTTTTTCAATGGAGATGTCACATTTTTGTCGACCTCTCGCCAAAACCAACAACACTTCTCTCCAGGAACGTGGGTGGGAAATGAAAACATCTCAATAGTCATTGGCTGTGTACTTGAGACTCAACTCAGGTGTGTCCCGAATTTCTGTTGATTCAAGATCGTATGGTGCGCTCTTTTATAAAGTGTTTGTCTTTTCATATAATGACACCTACCAACGTATTCAGCCAAATGTCATGGCCTCTATGGGCGTGCTGTACATAATTGGCAGGATTTGGCCCAAGCACAGGAATTGAGCCCAAGTGATATGGCAATGAGCGATGGAAATGCCACACCCAAATGTCGACTCGTCAGAATCCGACATAATTATCAAAGTATATAGGACTATGAAACGGAAATATCAATCTAAATTGTATTATAAAACACACCTTGTAGTATGTGCATCTTTACTTATTGTAATCATTATCGCACAATGAAGAATTCAAACATTTTTAGTGTAAATTTAAAAGCCTAAAGATAGCAGCGTAAACCTGCTTACTGAAGGTTTCACTAATAATATTCATGAAAAATAATTAATGCGGGAGGGGAGAGTTATGTGTAACAAATACGCCAGTCATCTCGTTTTCCTTGCCAATAAACTAGAACGATAACTGCATATTTGCTTTGAAAAAGTGCACAAAAGAGACAATATTTCAAATACTTTTGTTTATGAAACTGTGAATCTTGAGCAATTCGTCACGTAATTGGCTGTTTGTTTAACCAAAATGTAGGGAGCCCCAAACATTTGATGGCAAAATGTGAAAGAGGATGTCATATAGGACACATTTAAGACAGGATTTCGAAACGAATGTGTTTGAAGTCGAATATTGATGAAAGAATACAACATTTACAGAAAACACAAATTGTGTATTCTTTATTGCTTTTATCAATATTTATCTTAAAACACATTTGGGGGGGATTTTCTCAGAAATGTGTCTTAAATGACATCCTCTTCCGCATTATGATAAAAATGAAGTGAAATTTTGCCATCAACTACATTTTCACCTCAGAAGTTTGAATTATTTGCGATTTTCACCCGGAACCTCTCCCCGACGTGACTTGTGAAACATTATCAACGTGATCGACATTGATTTGTTTTCCCCCATTTTTTTTTCTGGGGGCACGAGGGTTAAATTGTGGTTTCCTAGCAGACGACATCTCCATGAGAAAAGCCATCCTGCACCGGAAGTGAATGTTCAAAGGTCACGCTCTCACTCAGTGACCTATAATGCTTCCCTCCGACATCCTAGAAACTGTTTCGAGTCAGAGGAAATTCGGCACATCCCGTCAACTACGAGTGCCATGTTGATCACAAATTGGACAGCCAAGTTTGTGTACAAAGTGAATGGAGGTGAATGGTCTGGCAATACAACACTCAGGCCTGTAGAATTATGACTGAAAACTATTACTAATATACTAGTGATATATTAAAAGCAGTTGATAACCTTACTGTGACCTCAGCTGTATTAGGCGAGAGGAAACCTTGCCTGTCGTATCGGCATGTCCAGAGTACAGTAATTAGTTCTTTGTGGCTAACTTCCGAGATAATCATCGTAAAATTATGTGCATGAAATAAATAAAAAGTCCATATTTACAAGAATTAGGGATAAATTTCGGCATGAATCGATGACTTCAACAAACTTTATATAGCCTACATGTACCTGTTTATTGATGCCGTATATATCTTTTGAGTATAGTTATTCTCTGTTACGTCGAGAAATAACATAAGACTTCTATTTAATAGAAAGAGGCACATAATATATTATACTGACGTGTGTTGGGAAAAATAAATTATACTTTGGACAACGGGTATTCGTCAAAAAACAACACAAGGACATGTCTCTCTTGCGAAAGAACAAAAACGTTTTGTGCGATCTCCTCTGTATCTCTCATCTCTTATACATGTATTTATCTCTTCTCTTCATCTTGGTCTCTCTCGCGAAATTATGTTGTTTCATGTAGAGCTTTTTTTCTACGCGACTTCACGACCAAGCAGAAGGAAATAGGTTCGTTTTCGAGAAATTAAGCCCAAAGGAAACATCAACTTTCGCCTGTTGAGCTGGTCATTGGCAATATCCGTCACCAAACAATAGTTCTTTATGTCTGCTCGATTAGGAAAGAATTAGCACAGACTATCTCACGCATCTCCATGTGATAGTAGCGCCCCATAAATCTACAGGCCCGTCAACAGTCTGAGTGCCAGTAAAATACATCGTTAAACTTAGAGAAGGTTGATTACCGGGTATTTAGGGGAAATATTTTTGAAACTTTTCTCCTGTCCTTTGGAAGTATATCATAATAGCATAGTCACATGAAAAGAAATCTCGATGTGATTATTTAAGATAATCAATGAAGAAAGTACAGCGTGTACTACATGACTGTATAGTACTTAGTATAAACTTTAGAGAAATGTATACTGCTACAGGATTATGTATAGTCCCATGTGCCCCTAACTGTTCCAAGTTTGATGGATTGAGCCTTTAGATGTTCAGCAAGATTTCATTAACTTTTAAATAATTTCGATGATTCTAAAATCGGACAAAACACAATTATTCCTATGCTACCCTGAAAGGTCAATTCTAAACAGTTTGCAATGAGAGGACCGACACCAAGTATCAGACATCATCTTTAAAGAAAGTTTGATGTATTATTGTATTGATTATTTTCGTTGAAATTACTACAAAAAATATATACATAGCGCGCCTTGTTGTCGTTGAACTCTCCTCTACCACCCCCCCTCTCTCTCTCTCTCTCTCTCTCTCTTTAAGCCTCTAACTCTCTGTAGTCTCTATTTCGTTGAATACTGAATGGCCTACATCAATGTCCTAATCATGCAGGTAATTTAGCCCAAGTATAATTTTTTTATCAGGATATCTCTCAAGGAGCAACTTGAAGAGTCTCTTTGTTCGTTTCGTTATGCATGTGAAGAGCAAACCTGTCTAACTGCCAGGATATATTATCATCTTCTGTGTTTAGGAACGGTGCAATTCTATCACCAACAGACGATTAACCAAACTACTTGATAGGATCATAAGAAAACACATCTTCAATGATACAAAGATGCAATTATGGCAAAAACATAGTAAAATCCTTTCGAATGCTGTCCGATCTTTGTCAGGCGATTTACCAAACCACCTAAATGAAAACACCCGAATGAAAACACAACTTCAATCAAACATAGTTTCATTTGTGGCAAAAGGATCGAGACAAAAATCTTTTCGATTCTTGTCCGATCTTTGTAGGAAGAAAGTGTGTACTTGAAAAAAAAGCGCTAATTTTGTTTTCATTCTCGTCTGAAATAATTGGCATAATAATAAGCACTTGCAGTAGCATGAAAGTCTATACTCAGATCATTGATCCACAATGATTTTCTTCCGTGTTGTGTTAGACACATTTATCTGTATTAGAGATCTACGTATTGCATTTTCATAATCGACTATAGGAAATGAGTAAGGAAGCTACATTCATAAACATGAAGATACACCATTCATGTACATGTCACTAGCAAAACAACTAGTGAGTGATTTTTTTTGTTAAGGTCTCAAAGTATACAACTTTCGCCGAAGTGCGTTCACGAAACGGCATGCATTTCTAAACAAAGCAAGAGTAGACACGAGTAATTTCGTGATCTTTCTAGTTTATACATGTACCTGCCTTTTAGCATGAATTTAAATCTGTTTGAGCTTGCCTTCATGCTTTATATTTTTGCAAATTCATAGCGCTCTTATAAACAAAATACGTCTGTGTTTTACTTAAAAAATAGCAGTGTCACCTTCCGCAGATTACACTGTGATATGTTTGGTTTTGATTGTGCTTGCGATGTTTTACCATTCAATCGATGATGTAACATCAAGCCGGAAAAGACTAAATTTGATAATGAGAAGGGGACGCTGCATATGAGGAACAGAAATACTATACGAGCAGGAGGAAATGAATACAATACAAGTTATATTCTGTTGTTTCCATCTTAAGAAAGGGAGCGCGTGCCTTATATGGGCAATATTTTCATGGTAATTTGAGTGTATTTGTTTTCCCAAGTTTACAGGAATAATGAAAATAAAATGCATAATAAAACTCTTTATGTATTCGGTCATGATTTGGACAAAGAAAAACTAAACTGAACTTACGGTTTTTATGAACAATTCAAGTGAAATTATTCATACACTCACATCAAATAATAAACTTGCACAATTTTTGCATAAGATCTTCAAGATTTGAACACATAAATAATAGGGAGAGCAAAACATGGAATGTTGGCCAACTATCATACTATCATAAAACTGTGCAAAAATAAAATGTTATCAAATATGTTTTGTATTCTGAACTATTATCATTCATATTTTGCTCAAAAACTCTGAATAATATAAACATAAATATTAATGCCCGTGATATTAACGGCATCCACGTGTTAATGTGACATCATACTTACATGCCAAGGTCTCCATAGGTGATGAAGAAATCCATGTTGCTGCACCCTTGGACCCATCCCACCTCCCACGTATCCGACGAGCTGACAGGGGGGAATCGAACCTTAGCTGAGGCCCTGAAGTGTGGTGTTTGGTACTTGAGAACCGTGGGCGATGTCTCGATGAGGGTGGTGGGCTGGGGGTCGATTCGGGCATGGAGGTCGGTGACTTTGATATCGCCTTCGAGGCCGTGGTTTTTATTCCGTTTTGACAATATACAACCCATGGGGCCGGTGATGGGCGCTTCCGGGAGGTGGAGGTAGTGACGTCGGGAAGGAACGGCCGAGAAGGTGGTCGGTGATAGACGACTCCGTCTTGCTGGTGTCGATGTCGAGTTCGTGTGTGATGTCGGGTAACCTGCGGTCGAGGTTGAAGACGAGGTGTCGGCACCGGGGAAAAGGTTGCGCGATGTCGACGTGCGCTCGGGCGGGTGACGGTCGTTTGCTGGATTTGAAGAATGATTGGTCGACCCACTTGTTGCTTGGTCGTGATGATGGTAGTCGTGGTCGTGATCGTGACGGCGATAGTGAGGTTGATAATGATGATTCCCTACTCGCTGATGAAAGTTGGGGGTTTCGTCGGTCCCGAATGATTGAAGGTTCGCTGCTGGTGTGAAAACAGGACTCCTGCTGCGTGGTGTAGCCTGATCTTGGTGGCTGGACGGTTGCCCCCCACTCTCGGCTCCTTGAGAATTTCACACAAAATAAAACACAACACAGTAGCAAAATATATATCCACAATACGTTAAGATTATGATCCCAGGCTAACAAAGACTTTAAAATGTCACAAGGATTTGGAAAAGTTTCCCAAATATTCTCCCTGCCGGTTATATCCCACGTAATCACAGCGTATTGCCGTGTATTCACGAGTTTGCCAACAAGTTCCGCGGTGGGAAAGTTATGCGGTATTCCTAGTGTTGGGCTTTGGGAGCACGACTCGTACTCCTCTACTTCGACTGCAGCTGGTTTCTTACTGCACAACGCGATTAGCAGGTCTGCCGCAACTATCACGGCCCATCGGATAGAGTGACTATGACTGACTTCCGCTCGATTCATTTCCACTCGGTACATAGTGCCTGGCTAGCTCTCTGAGCTCCAATATACGGGTGAGGAAGTAGTAATCAAGTTGAGTTGTTGAGGCAATGATGAGCTGGCATAACCCTCCAACCGACTACAGCAGCGTGCATCATCAGACGAGTACATCGCTGGATGCTTAGAGACTCATGGGGAAACACAACCAGTGACTCACGGCGACGACTCCAGGAACCCTTTCAAATTACGCGCGACAAAATCTCCGTCACGACCGGAAGACGAATCAGAATCGCTCCAGCGAAACTACAGAAACTCACTCCAGCTACAAATTCATATATTCTTCCAAAGTAATAACTTTGACGTCGGATTACCAGTCCCTAGCTCTCCATAGCACATACGGCGGTAAACTGCCAAAACATATTCCGTGACCAAGTTGAAAAAAGAAGAGGATCCGACGTATACCAGTATTTCTACCAATCTACCAGCACCTCGCGATAGAGTGACAGTCGACACCGTGCTTTCCGTATAGCTAGCGAATCTCCGAAGGAAAATTGCCCGCTACGGCTCCGTACGATAAGCCAATGGTTTTACTCCAGACGGCAGGTCTGGTATAACGTTTTATCCCCTCGATGGAGAGAGCGAGAAAAAGAGAACGCCAAAGACAAGTACTTCTACTTTATACAGAGCTCTGCCTAGATCCAATCTGGTTTATACATGATGATTATGGAGTAGACGGCTGGATAGCACAATGCCAGATGTGTCGTTCGTTGGTAGGCAAAGCAAGAGAGAAACAAACTTCACATGCAAAGTACGTGCTGTAGACTTTATACGGTACATGAAAAAAATCTTGAGCCTATAGCCGCTGACGATTCCGTACTGTGAAAAGGCCCATTCATCCGTGAGACGGGTCTATGTTTGTATGGTGTGGTAGACCGCCGTGGAGTTTTGTATTGGTATTCAAGAAGAGAGAGAGCACACAAAAGCTGGTATACATATCATACTTCGTCGCTACGGATTCGTAACGAGCGAATGCACCGTTCGGAAATTAGATGGACACCTATGCAGTGATCACTGAACCGCGACGTTATTATTTCGTCCTCCTAATATAAAAATCAACATGATAGCATGAAATAATTAAATTCGATCTGACATGCAGAGTCAACCTTTTGCCTATATGCCTGGCTTGATAGCTTCTCAATTTCGAGAACAATCTCATTCAGGAACATTACCCACCCCCCTCCCTACTCTATAAAGAAAAAAAAACATTACATCACATTACTATTATGATATGCAGCGGAACATAAATTATCTTTAATTGGATTACTATAGCAACACACTCAACAGTACCAATAATTAGCATTGATTGATCAAATTACAGACTGCGCCGAGATACTTGAGTATGTTGGACATTTTGTGAGACACTATATCAACTTCATTCATTTGTTTCCATAGTTACTAAGTTTATTCGCAAAGTGACACAGAAACATGAACTTGTTAAAAGCTTATTATTAATCATAGCCATTATTAATGTTCGTCCAGGCATCAGCCAGTGAGAAAAAGGGAACTCCCCCGTCAACCCAAAGTGTATATTTCCTTTCATGTTAATCGATATTATTACGGATGGGAAGAGAAGAGGTTATTGCCCCGGTTTCATGTTTACCTTTAATATTTAGTGTTATAATTGAAATCAAAACGCCCTTAACCTTTGACAAGTGTTGACTTTATACCGTCTTGTACATGTATAGTTAGAACAGGAATCTGTCTACATAGCTTGCTCTGATTTAGACTTCGACACTTATAATGGAATAGAGTATCACTAATACTTGATAAGGAGATCGGACGTTTGTTGTTTGTTCCATATCGATAGCCAGGTAATTATCCGATGATTATGGTGACATATCAAATTACAAGATCAAATTACACAGATTAAGAGTCGTTCACTTCACAAATGAAAGAATATATTCGAATGTTGCCTTTAGCAGAAAATTATTAACCTCACAAGTTAACATAAATGCTTAGACATGAGAGAAGGTAGCCTAAATAGTAAATACAACTGTTACAATAAACTTTAAATGCAAAGTAATATAGAAAACAACGTTGTATGTGACAAAATGCAAAGGGCAAAATAACTTCCCCAAAACCTTTTTTTTTACACATATACACTGTACTTTCAATTTCAAGAGTATTATATTTCTGCCGTTGAAGCGGGTCAACTTTCGTTACTATGCGGTTGGCATGGCAACCGGCGCAGTCACATGGCACGATGTGCTGTGTGTCCACTCACAGGAAATGTAAGATCTCTTCTGTAAATGACCTAGTTCTTTAATGGTTAAACTGTAATTATGGAACCAGGTTTTCTTTATACCAGGTTTGGGAAGATAAAATTAAGATTAGATGTAATTTTAGTCGAATTTATATCATGTAGTATAATTGATGTGAGAATTACTGTAAAGTGTCAAAGAATATATCTAAGATAAAAATATTTACTAACAGAAAATTGATATGTAAACCCCCCCCCCAACAAAAAACAACAACAACAACAAACAAACAAACAAACATAAACCTATAAATGTGTTTTTTCAGTGTTCGTTCCTTCTTCCTCTGTTTCTTTTTTCTTATTTTAGTCGTGCTATATTAGACATGACAAATACATGTATTTAATGTATTTAATGTATTTAATGTTTACGATGCAATATGATGGGAAATAACCACATTTTTTTTAGTTGTGTTAACAGAGATGCCAAATGGCCAGGAAAGAAAAAGCATCATTGTTTCGAACAATTTTGCAATGGAAAACGCCCATTTCTATATCCTGAAACTTTATAATAACATCCTCAAGCAAGTGTAATTATTCTTCATAATTTGGGTAACAAACATTTCATGGTAACATGATGTGGCAAATTTTATGTCACATCATTTCAGAATTAGTGATTGATATGATAAGCATCATCATTTTCGATCACGTTAAAGGTATCTCTCGCGTTCTAATAATATTCATTTACATAACCACATACTATCTCCGATACTTTCATTTCATTTATTCATGTTTTTTTTTTTTTTTTTGAGTTTTCTCATATCTCTTTTGATTTGCATTTGCATTAAATCGACATAAAATGCAAACGGAACTATATGACTTTGTGATATTTAAAAAAACAAATCTTCTAATTTCACTCAGTCTGTCTATCGTATAGTATGTTATCATGTTTATACTCTTCCCACTCTTCGATTCCCTGAAATTTCTGTTAAAGATATTTTCATTAGCCTTCAATACATGTATTGTGAACGGTACTTTATGAACATGATTTTATGATTTGTATTTTTTCATTTACTCCTAAAACCGTATATAACATGTTATAATGAATTTGACGACTTCTTTTCTGTTTTGTACTTATTCTGAACCATTTCGATTTCCAAATATTACCCATCAAAAAGTGCCAAATCATTTCATGATGACATCATTTCATCAAAACAAAAACGTCCAATCATTCTTTGATAATATGCCAAAAATACTGATTGATTTGAACATCGAACCTGTACTTATAGTCAGTGCAATAGTTTACATGAGAAGAAGAAAAAAAGGAAATGAAAGTAACCCGTAGTCAAATACGAATAGATAAACATCCTGTAGCCAGATTTAGAGAAAGTCCGGATTATGAAACATTACGTTTTAATTGATGATTTTAAGTTATTAATAAAGGCTTAAATCGTTCGTAATCACGTTGATTATCTCGCTGAATATGCATTAACAATTTTGATGCCGTATTGGTTGATATTTCCTTTACATGGGATTTTTGTGAGCAAAGTTTACGAAAAGATGCCTTTTTCTATGCAAGTATAGTTGCATCTAATATAATTCTACCGTGTACATATAATTATAGCGACGAGACTATATTATGAAGAGAAGCCGATGTATTTTTGTGCTTTTCTACAATTAAAATAGATTTTCGTAAATATTATAAATACCCCTTCCGAAACAAAACACAAACTCATTGATTTCATTTTCGTTTGTTTTCTTAAATATAAAATAAAGGGAAACAAACAATATATTTACACTACTTTGGTTTATCAAGACAAGAAAAACAACCAACATTGGTGATCATGAACAATCATCATGTCAACAGGAAAACGACAACAATGTACAGCGCACCTAAAACACAAAGATAAGTATTCTCGTAATGATACGGAACTACATCTAAAACGGGAACTAATCGTTGTTTCTGAGCAGCAAAAACGAGAAAGGGAAACAAGGACAGTGGCTGAACTATGGGAATGCCATCGAAGGGAGTGCCGTCACGAACTCGAGAGGGAGGCATTGATAATGACAAGAGAGCACAGTTGAGAAATAGTGGCTATGAACTTTCTTGACTTTTCACGACAGTCTCCTGCATTAAATCAGTTTTTTAAAGCATTTATAGACAAAATAGATAGTACAATATGTCCAGAAAAGATGTATCCATATTCTCACTCCAAGATGATAACAAAGTAGTTCATGGTTAGATTGCCATCCATCAAACAATAAGATTTCTATCCCAGTGGCGGATCCAGGGGGGGGGGGGGGGGGCTGGGGGCCCGGCCCCCCCCCCTTGAGGAAAAAATCATGTAAAATCACGTGATTTTTACCTTTTTTGGGGGTTGGGCCCCCCCTGGCGCTCAAGGGGGAGGGGGGTGCAAATTGAATTTTTTTTTGAGGATCAAAAAAAAAAATGTGCTAAATCAGTTTTTTAAAGCATTTATAGACAAAATAGATAGTACAATATGTCCAGAAAAGATGTATCCATATTCTCACTCCAAGATGATAACAAAGTAGTTCATGGTTAGATTGCCATCCATCAAACAATAAGATTTCTATCCCAGTGGCGGATCCAGGGGGGGGGGGGGCTGGGGGCCCGGCCCCCCCCCCTTGAGGAAAAAATCATGTAAAATCACGTGATTTTTACCTTTTTTGGGGGTTGGGCCCCCCCTGGCGCTCAAGGGGAGGGGGGTGCAAATTGAATTTTTTTTTGAGGATCAAAAAAAAAAAATGTGCTCACTACCCCCCCCCCTCCCCCCCCCCCCCCCCCCCCCCCCCCCCACTGAGCGAATTTTTGGCCGGCGCGTTTTTCAAATTTTCGGGAGCAAAAAAAAAAAAAAAAAAAAAAAAAATTGAGCACTGTACCCCCCCCCCCCCCCCCCCCCCACTGAGCGACTTTTCGGCCGGCGCGATTTTCAAATTTTCGGGAGCAAAAAAAAAAAAAAAGTTGGGCCCCCTCCCCTAAGAAATCCTGGATCCGCGCCTGTCCCAGTAAGCCGAAGCCACGGACCTCGAAAGAAATTCTGAACAAGATCTTGAAGCACTATCAAAATATATGGCTTGTAAAATTATAAGTTCCACTTTCTATTCCACAGGATACGAACAAAATCTTCAAATTTATTGAGACACAGTAACCCTACATAACAGTTATTTATGTTTATTTATACTGAAAAATAGATTGATGACTGAGCCCATCAACCACTCAAGGAACACTTGGGTGACTGATAAATAGTAGGAGCTCAGCAGCTGTTGACCACATTAACTATAAAGTAGATCGTATAAAATTAGGTGGATATTTCATATTATAGATTACAAACAGTACAAGTAATTCAAATACAATAGATGCTCCAAATCGTTTGCATAATCTTTGAGTTGCCTGTACCGTCTGCATATAATTATTATTATAGGTCAACCTTTTCTACAAATGAGACTAGATGATACTACATTCAAAAAATAGATAAACAGATATATACTTCTTTTAAAACTTTTTCAGTTTATGTGTCTAATTTAAATAATTTGAGTTAATAGTCTGCTTACATTTTGAACAAACTTTATTGTTCTTATAATTATATTGTTCAATGTAAAATAAAACACAAATTTTCCTACCTGCACGTCCTTTTTGTGTTTTCTTTCGCCTTAAAAAATGTGAAAAGTGTTCTCTTTTGCCCGATTGCTTTTCCATGCTTGTTTCTTAATCATCTGTTCCTTTTAATATAGCAATAAATATTTGAACATTCCGAAATCGCAATGTGTTCCTTTTTACGGGCCTGTGTGATTTGTTTATATATTTTAATGACTTGTTATACCCATAGAGCGTGTAACTACTAGAATGCGCGCCATTACTATTACGTCATCAAAAGATTCATGCCCGCCTAGCCTAGCATGCGCGCAATATACTCAATTTATAGGGGATTTCCCATAGCGCTAACCACGTGACACACAGGATCCTCCACTATTATTGTGTAAACGTCCCAAGAGTCCACTTGGTCTTTTGACTTTAAATAAAGGAAGAATTACGGAATGAAATCTAGAAACTTGTCATACTACGTGATGTTGTTTCATTTAAAGACCCAGTTAACGTCATTAATTAAAATGACTTATAAATGTAAACAAAAATAGCGGTGACTATATAATACGCTTAATTTCGGATTCCAGTTAATACAAAACCAGGGAATATTTATCCTATGTTCTTTAATTTTGTCTGTTCATTGGATGTTGCAAAATTACAAGACAATGCCGATAATGGGTCACAAAAAGGCACAAAAGGAAAGATCAATGTTTGAAAATAATTCCAGATTAATGTTAATTAGTTTGAGCTGAAAATGATGTAAATTGAAGGGAACTACAATTTTATCTATCATAATCTTTCAGTATCATCTGTTGTTATTTTTTACTTTTTTTAGATATATATTTGTAATACTTTGCATAGGCCTATAACTGCAAACGTCAAGAGGAAATGTATCTGTGCTTTGAGCTGGTCTGCCGGGGATGGGACAAAACTAGCTTCTTTATCATTGTCTACGACTTTTGTGATCATCATTAAAAAACGAGCCACTTGTTATTGAATTGATTCGATATTACCCCAAGTTGTTAAATTTATTATTAGTTATGATTTGTGATGAAAATTAGAATTATAAAGTAACTCGAGAAAATAAAGCCCCTCCCCCCCCCCCCCCCCCCCCCCCCCTGCTCTCTCAACTCTGCCATCGCATCTGGCGCCATCTCATGTTCAAAGATGGAAGAAAAAAAAACTATACATACGCGTGAAAATTGAGATATAATGTAGTCCTTACTTAACTTGTACATTTTGAAATTTCTACACCATTTTATAACCTTTTTGGAATCGTTATTAAATAAAAATCAATAACTGTAAATATTTATCAATGCACTCGGATTAAAAAAAAAAAAAAATCAAAGTTTGATCTCTACAGCGATAAATCATATCAATGCGCGTCTTACTATTTCTCTTTCCCAGTCCCACATACAGAAGTAAGGTACATGTGGACAACCTCTTAACAAATATTTGTAAAATTAGGGATTCTCTCCTGCAAAACTAATTTTAGTGATAAAGTATGATTAATATATAAGTGATGATTGTAATAGAGTAAAATAATTAGGGATAATTGTTTGTATATGTGGTCCAAAAGGGTGTTGTTTTTGCTAACGAATGGTGATTGAGTGACGGGCCGAACCGTGTCCGCGTCCGTGCATTGACAATGCAATGTAGATCTACGTGTATAATATGTATGGCCAAAATTACATGAGTGATTTTCGTACAGTGACCGTGGTCTTTCAACTGCACGATCACGAGCGACACGGCTCTAGATTCTACATCTACACAAAAAGTTCAAATGAAACCCAGTTTAATTCAATATGGTTAAAGGTGTCTCCTCTCAATTTTTACAAATCCATGAGATTACAGACAAAGACTCGAAGTAGCCCATGGATTCTGCAGATTTTGTGCAATGCCAATGATGGCAGATGCGATGTCTGATGACGTGAAAATTAAATGACGGTGAAATCTGAAAAGTGATGGTGATCGAAATTGAATGATAACTTCAACAAAGCTCAAGCATGAATCGTGATCATGTTAGAAGCAGTGACCGGGAATTACAGGCCAACGCCTTCTACCCGTACTTGATGATGATGATGATGATGATGATGATGATGATGATGTTGAGGAGTGTTTGGAAAAGGGTTTCTAGCTGTTTCAGTCAAATGAATTATTTCACCCTTGTTCATTCAAACTCCATGGAGGCCTAGATCTAGGCCTAGATCTACACTATTTTTGGACTAGGGTCTAAGTTATCTATCATTATGCATGTGAATTTGTGAAATTTTCATTCACATCACAGGGGCATCACAAGGAAGGGAGGGGGGGGGGGGGTGATGACATCCTATTACAAATTTTGTGTCTGCTGTAGGCCTAATTGAACATTGTATGATTGATTTTTTTTATTGAGCCTTTTAAGTTCTATGGAAGTTGTAGATCTCATAAATTGTCAATTTTATTGAACACCTTTCTTGTTGGTGCTTGTGAAAATATGGAATATCTGTCTGTCTCTGTACAAAGCTTGCTCCCAGTGCTACTCCCAACAATCATGTAAAAAACAAATTTTTCTCTATAGATGTCTGTTCAGATGAAACAAAAATTGTCCCAGTTAAAAATTTGGTTTTTGATGTAGAATTCAGCGAACAGCATGCCATGCATTTGAAGTTTTAGCACTGTTCATTCATAGACAAGGTTACTGAGCATGACTTATAATTTGGTTTCTTTCTTTCTTTTATCAAAGGACAAAATGGCGTCTGCAGATCTCCAGTGGCTTATCATCCGTAACAACTCCTGCTTCTTGAAGCATGGGGGCGGAGTCACCATGAGCACAGTAAGTTTTCTTTTCTGTAACCATGTCGAAAGAACATATGCCAGATTAGGACCATCACAAACAAATTCTTGAGTCAAATAATGATTGTAGGGCATCTAACATACTCCATACTTTGTTATTTTCTAATGAGAATAAGATTGAACAGTGACATGTTAATATTGCTACATTATTGAAATTGTTGCTGTGTTTAATTCATATTTATATTCAATCTTTCTATGATGTTCTTTTTTTCATTGTGTGTACGTAGGAGCCCAACAACTTGAAGAACAGGAATTCCTTCAAGTACAATGGTCTTATCCACAAGAAGGTAGGAAATTTCTGCAATTATTCACCAATTCATGAAAACTTTCACTTTTCCTTAAAAGAGTTTTATTCTCTTTTCAGTAAATTCATTACTGTCGCAGCTCCTGGCAGCTTTTGGTGGTGCTTACCTAGTGCTTAGTATCAAGGAAATGGCTGTATTCATGTTCAAAGGGGGGGGGGGGGTGGTAATGATGCAAATAGTTCAAACAATTCATTATTATTTCTTTTAAAAATCCATTGTGCATCACAAGAGCACATAACATATTGGACCGAATTCACAAAAGAGGTTTAACCCTTACTGTACTGGGGGGGGGGGGGGGGGGGGGGGGGGGGGGGGGCCTGGGAGGCCCCCCCTCGACATTTTCGGAGTTTGCGCCGCAACCGCTTGGAATTTTGAATTGTCGTTTCATGACTTTTTTCCCTCAAGTCTCACGCACATTTTGATATCATTTTCGTCGAAATCGGATATACCTGTAAGGTGTTACATAACAATTAGTATGCGCATGTCATCAAAAAAAAAAAAAAAAAAAAAAAATTGCATCAAAATTTGCATAAATTATCATTATTAATTACATTAAATTAACTTTTTTGAGTTAAAAAAGAAGTTTGATATGAATAATGAGTTTCAACATTCAAAAAGTGGAGTTTGAAACGTTTTCTGTAAAATGCATAAAATTAGCATTTTTGCATAATTAATTAGGCTAACGACAAAAATTTGCATATTCGGAAAAAACTAATTATACCATCTTGTTCCTTACGTAAATATCTACAAACGTGCAAATTTTCGTGTTCATCGGACAATCGACGGCCGAGATCATAGGGGGGGGGCCTGGGAGGCCCCCCCCCCCCAGTCAGTGGGTGCTCAAAATAGCCCAGTACAGTAAGGGTTAAATTCATGTTTTAAACCCTTATTTACATAACCCATGGTTTAAAATTAGCGCAGAATAAGCGTACCTTGCGCGCGTCTAATATTGGACCTCTGACTGTGTCGCGCTAATTTTAGACCATGGGTTATGTAAATGAAGATTTAAACCATGGGTCAAATTTAAACCAGATTTCTGGTAGTTATTTCTCAACAATCTAACCATGAACTCGTAAATTATTTTCCATCTCTAGGCTGTAGGAGTCGAGGCTGCAGCTGACGGCAAGGGTGTTGTTCTAGTCACCAAGAAGATCAAGGGAAGTAAGTTGAAAAAAATGATTACAAAGTTTTCTCTCCACCCAGGATTAAGCACTAGGCAGAAGGTACATTCACCATGCAAGAATTGAATATTTGTTGAAATGTGTGTCTCTACCCAGGTGTAGACACTGTGCAAGACACTTTCCTTCATATGGATGTGTTGTTCATCGGGTGCTTATGATAAAGCTGGCATTGTATTGGTCATTTTGATGCGGGTGTTTCGTTATGTTTTTTTTCTTCTAATGTGAAATAGAATTATGATATGCCATCCTTCAATTGTTTGGTATTGGTGAGATTATGAAAATATCACCATTTCGAACAGTAAGATGTGCTTAGTCCACCATAATTAATTATCTGAGCTTGGAACCTGCAAACATAATGCTAATGACTGACAATGTGTATTTTTAGGATAAATTTATTTGTCCTTGTTTTTGCAAATAGAGTCATGAGTGTGACTTCCATGTTGTTAAGTACCTTCATCACTCTTCCCTTTCCCTAACTTAATCCACTTTAGAGCTGTCAAGTGATCTTTTGAAATGTTGATAACTTAAATATTTTGATCTGGATGATGGAGATATGCCTAATAGTTATTAAGTGTGAATTTTTATACCTGTTCTAATTTTGTTGTTTCTTTGTAGCCATGAACAAGCCAGCCAAGACCTTCAACCGCGTTGAGATGAAGAAGGATTCTCGCCGTACCCTTACAGCTATCCGCCGTACCCTAAAGAAGGGATACCGAAAGGACCTAAAGATGGTAAGATATAGGCATCCCACTTCCTTCCTCTTCCTTTTGTTTGGATGTTAAAGCCTGTCTGCAGTACTTTGGGCTTATTGCGCCCTCTATTTAGCAAACAATGCCTAATCGGTGACCATTGGTCCCCCATGGTCCCCTTTTTCTTATGTTAATTGAGAGCTGATTTGATGAGATAATCACATGTCGGTGTCCATGCAGGGAGGTCTAATCCCTCCTGGCCAAATTGGTGCAGATAGGCTTTAATAGATATTAGAACTGATTGATGGATTACCATCAAAATTAGGACCTGTATGTATCTTGCAAAGCCAATGAACTGATTAGATTTTGGGATCATGAGGTCAAAGATCAAAGGATCATACATTTAAATGAAAAAAAGGCTTGTAATCAAGATATTCTTAGAACCTGTTAATGGATTACAACCAAATTTGGATTTTAAAAATTGCTTCTGTTTTGGTTTGTAAAATCGCTCTATGGCGGAGGCATCATTTTCATAATTCATTGAGTATTCCATCTATATTAAAATACACATTTGCTAGATAGTGTGATTTAGAGACATAAGGATGACTTTCTTTGACTGATTTATTCATGAGGAATATTTGAATACCTCTAAGAAGTTCTGAATGTCTGATCATATATGTTGGCTGTAAAATGTGATTGAAGATGCTAATTAACAAATATTATTTTTTAATAGAAATAACCATTTATACAGTTGCTATTTATACAGTTAGTTTACTGATATACATACAAGACCAGAGTTTTATTTGTAAGCTCTACGGTGGAAGCATCATTTTCAACTGCAAGCAGTATACGATCCGTCTAGTTACCACAAGAACCATGTAATTAGCAAAATTACATGTCATAATTCAATTACACCAATACATTACCTAGCTTGAAAATTTTGCAAATCCTAACCAATAACGAATTTACAGAAATGTCTGGTTTTACAAATTGTTTTACCATATGTACACAACCATCATAATTGATAATACTGCTTACTAGTGTATGCTACTCTCAGCAAGTGGTGTTATTCTGCTGACATTTGACATTGTCCAAACAACCATTGACCTCGGGCGATATTTGCTCTAGGGTCAATTTCTATTGCAAGTTGAATTCCTAACTTAAACGCTGGGCTCAAAGTAACACCATAATATTCCAACCTATCTGCTCTTTTTTTTTTTCAAGTAGGTAGAGTGCAAATGTTGAATGATCTGTTGGTTTCTTATTTATTACAAAATCCCACACAAGCCATTTCATGTTACTGTGATAACACTGATAACTCAACTTATTTCATTTCATTTCATTTCTTTATTATGTCCATAGAGGATAATTGTTCATATTTACATTTACAATCTGGCTTCACAGTAATTTCAAAGGAACAACATATAATTGACAATCATAGGTACTTAATTAAATACATATGAATTGTAAACACATACTTCATGTTTGTCTGAATTTTGTTCAACCTCGTTTCTGATTTAGTCTCAAGGCCCTGTTTTATATTATTATATTGATTTCACAACTTGTGTCTTCTTATCATTCAGGCTGCCCTGAGGAGAGCTAGCGCCATCATCAGGAGTCAGAAGCCCATCACATCGGTCCAGAAGAAGCGCCCCACCAAGGCCAGGCGCACATAGACCACCACCATGATGCCATCTCCCTTCCCCGTTAGACCCAGGACTGGTTATTCTGTTAGACGTTTACCATCGCGTCACACACTGTATGGCTGTTATAAATAAATGACATTCATTAGTGCAACCAATAAGAAGATGTCGCTTGTATTCTGTTATCAGAGTAGATTGTATTTGTTATCAGAGTGGATTGCGCTATCTGAGTAGAATGTTGTTGGGTAAACATGAAAGGTGAAGGCACTTTGTTGGTCGAGGTCAGAGTCATGTATGGTAGAAATTGAGGTTCCTCCTAACCCTCTTCTTTTAGAAGCCATTAATACTGGTTTAAAACGATTGCAATCATTGCTTCCCATCACCCTCATGCTCATAGATATGCGGTAAACCGTCCCAGTATTCTGACTAAAAAAAATGGCAACTGCGTGCAACAAAGGTCTTGATGTATACATGTATTTACTTACCTCTGTGTTGTAAGATACAGAAGTGTGATGCATATTACACTGGTTTACTGCTGCATTTGTGAGCAAGGCTTTACTGTTGAACTATTTTGTCACATAACAACTAATTTGTAGGAACAAATGCTAACTCAATGATATACCTATAACAACAGGATGTGTGAACTATTGGTATAAATTTAACCCACGAGGTCAACTTTTGTTGTAGGAAAGCGAGCAAAAATGATAGTTTACATGGTTATGTCCACTGATGGCTATTAATTTCCACCAATCATTTTGCCTCTACCAGCATAAATGTGCTTGTTTACTGTACATAATCGTAATCGTGATTTACATGTAGGTGATGATGTTGATAGAGAGTAGAGATATGTGACTGATTGATTGATTGGTACTACCAAATGCTGTTTGTCGAATGTGAAGAAGAGACTGGGCAAGTCTGTATTAATTTAAGGAGGGCGAGAGAGAGAGAAGGGGGGGGGGGGCCGTGGGAGGGAGAGAGAGAGAGAATTGGGTGTCGAGGCATTGGTCCATTTTGAGAGGGAATTGAAGAGTGTTTAAGTGTTGAGGGGAAAGACGGGAGAAAGTGGCAAGGAGTGATGATCTGGCCAAGGCCTTCTGGTAGAGGAAGTTTGTGATGATGAAATGATGGATACAAAGTAAAATAGCCCCACCCTCCTCTCTACAATATCTCCCTCTATTCCTCTGTACTACTGTACCTCTCTATGCTCTCTTCTTTCTATCTCTCTCTCTCTCTCTCTCTCCTCCAACACTCTCTTCATCCCGCCGTCTATCCACTTTCTCCCTTTATGCACTGTATGTGTAGGAACATTTTCGCATAATTTGTCGGCCACTTTGGTCCGACATTTTCACATAATTTGTAGTTTGGGAGGATGAAATGATGGATACAAAGTAAAATACCCCCACCCTCCTCTCTACAATATCTCCCTCTATTCCTCTGTACGACTGTACCTCTCTACGCCCTCTCTCTGTCTACTCTCTCTCTTTTCTCTCCCCCATCTCTCTATCTCTCTCTCTCATCTCTCTCCCTCCACCAATCTCTCTCTCTCTCTCTCTCCCTCCCTCCAACACTCTCTTTTCCTTCCAGTGTATCTACCTCTTCTCCCTGAAAGGAATGTATTCGTAGGAAAGTTTTTGGATAGTTTGAAGCCCCCTTTGGTCCAATGCCCCCCCCCCCCCAACCCCAATAAAGGTGTCTACTAGCAATGATTCCCTTCATGGCCTCGCTATATAAACACAGCCTTGAACTTTTCGCTCACGTGCTGTGGCGGCCTGCAGAATGACTCAATTATCAAGTTTACCCGGTAGTAATTTCCTTCTTTACTGATCAAAGGTCACTCTCGTATACATACAATGATCCATGCATGCACCATTAAAAGTTCCACGGAGATCATGACTGCATATACATGAAAACATTGGATACCCTTGCTTTGGATTTGGTTCAATCTATGCGACGTGTACTAGCTACATTATGCGTTGAGGTATACCCTCCGTATTTGAGTCAATATTCTTGAGGAAAGGAGCTCTTGTTGTAATAACCAGGACAATAAATGCATTTTTTTATAGTGTTGATAAGGCACATTCTACCTATTATTAATAAGGTACTGATCGATCGTATAGTTCAGGTCCCTAGATATAGATCCGGGCCTTGGTTGAACTGTGCTCAATATTGCATGAAGTATACAGACACTTTATCTGGAATAGAAGTATCTAAACCTTGGGAGATCGAAGATGGCTGAATCGTCTGATGAAGGAGACTCGAGCAGAACTCGTACCATCTTGTGGTGCATGCCCCGTTCAGTCTCAACTGCTCTCACGAAGTGTATTAGTTTCATTCCAGACACGCAGGTGTGGTTCGAACCTTACTGTTACTCCTACCTCGCAAGGCGGGAAATACAAAGTCGTCTGCGCGTCGACTTGCCAACGAGTTACCATGGCAACGAACATATGTTTCGTCAGGCAGCTAGTTTCATGAACGAAGCAACTGGCTGCAAATCATTCAAAGCTGAATGTCTGTCGTGAGTAAACTTTGAGTTATCATAATGCTTTCTAATAATTGTAGATGGGTAATTTCTGACAGGATTGGAATGTTGAGAATTTGAGATGTTATAACAATATCAATACAGTAATACCAATACAGTACGCCTAATTTATATATTTTATACTTTTATTTACATTTCGCATGCACAGTAGGCCAATATCACACGAATAACCCTATATTTCACCATGTATAACCTTCTATTTAATACAATTAATTTCGACGTCTTTTCAAAGAATTAATTATGTAATGTGACACTTTTAGTATATTTCATATCATGTTCTCATTTTGTCAATTATGTGAATTCTTTTTTTGTGAAATATGAAACAAATAAATTTGAACTTCAAACTTAAGTTTTTGAGCTCAGGGCGGCTACGTACGATCATAACGTTTAAGTTCACATGTTTCCGCCTTAAACTCTTCAAACTCCTCTGTTTCCACAGGTATGACGAAGTGAAGCAAGCACTTGAAAGCTCGACGAGCAAGCATGTCTTTGTTAAAGATGCGGCATTCAGCATTAGCGAGAAAGAGCATCCATTCATACCGACTGGATACAAGCACACTTTTATTATCCGTCATCCTCTGCGCTCCTTCTACTCTCAAAGAAAAATGATGTTCGAGCACCTCTCCAAGCTCGGCCTCTTATCGGGTGAAGCTGCCGACGAGTCGACCTACGACGTCGAGCGACACAACCACTACATGACCCCCGGTCTTTTCATCAAGGACGTCTACGACCTCTGGAAGTATATTCGGGAGAATGTGGATAGCGACCCGATCGTGATGGACGGTGACGATCTGCTCGCGAATCCTTCCGAAATGCTACCGAAGTACTGCCGAGCTGTTGGACTACCTTACGAAGAATCCCGATTGAAGTGGGATGCTTCGCTGGAGGTGGTGAAGAAGTGGAAATTGCCCGCCGATGACCTGGTGGAGAATATTGTAGCGTGGTATGGAACTGCGACCAGAAGTAGTGAATTTAAACCGGCCAATAGGATGCCTTCTCGTGATGAAGTCACTCATGACGTCATCAGATGTACTGACCAAGTTTTGCCATTTTATAAAGAGATGTATGAACATAGAATGAAAGTCTAAACATTAATTGTTCTCATTCTATGAAACCTCAGGGGTTGGGTGAACTTGTGGAAAAGTGTACAACTTACTCATTTGCAGCAAGCCGCGAGATACATGTTTTTTGTTTTGGCCTTTTAGTTATTTTCAGGAGTTTTCATCTCGGGTCGATTCGGGTGCTGGAACTAGCTCTCTGTCTGCCGGATGTCTTTTATCAAACACCAATACTTTAACCCAACACCAAGACTTTAACAGTTATAAGCCAAAGCCATACATGACCATGAATTTGTGAGAGGTGCTCACTTTGTCCTCATTTAAAACCATACACTGAGTTAAAATATAGAAAAGTATAACCACTCCCAAAGTGCATGGAGGACATTCAGTGTTCTCGTTTGCACCTATAGCTATGAAGAGAATATATTTTTCCTCCGATAATCATGTGCAGATATAAGTAAAGTTCCACTAACAGATTGTAAATCCATTTTCACCCATCGTCTTCTGAACATTCAAACCTCATTTAAAATAATGCATTTTAGCATGCTTATCAATTATCTATATTGTTTCCATGTATCTTTCACATTTTCATTCATTATTATATCATGTAATTATGTTTTTAAAACAAAATATCCATGTGAAGAAATTGTCCTAATAAATACATCCTAATTTTAGATATTTTTGGGGTATTTACTCAACATTATTTGCAGAGTGGGGTGGCCTCTTTCCTCTGGACCCGCCTATGCCAAAAAAATGGTCCGTCGCCAGTCTCTTCCCTTCCACTCCCCATTTAGGGGCGCCTGACGACATACAGGCGGCAGCTAGCTGACGGAGAGAGAGAGAGAGAGAGAGAGAGAGAGAGAGAGAGAGAGAGAGAGATATAGGGGGAATGGGGGGGGGGGGGGCACATTTAGCAATTTGCTGACGACCGATATCACCTATTCCTCCACTTTTCCGCCACACGCCCTTACGTGACTGGCTCCAAAGAAGCTGCCCCGGTAGACATTTTGAATTCCTGGGAACCAATTTTGATTGATTTAGAGTTTCTCCTATAGCTGAGATGACTCTTATCCGAAAACGTCCCAGTATCAATAATTATAGTTCCGTACGTCCACATCTCCATCCCGCTTCGATTCTCACCACAGCGAGAGATAGACAAGAGAGAGAGAGAGAGGGAGAGAGAGAGAGAGAGAGAGAGAGAGAAAGAGAGAGAAAGAGAGGGAGAGGGAGAGTAGAGGAGGGAAGGGGAGGGGGTGGGGTAAAGAATATTTATTTATGTCCACTCATCTCTCGAATTTCTCGACAATTCTTGGTTTGTCCATCAGTCTCTCTGCCCCCCCCCCCTCTCTCTCTCTCCCTCCCTCCCCCTCCCTCCCTCCCCTCCCCCTCCCTCTCTCCCTCTACCCTCTCTATAATAGCTCTTGTCCGCTTATCTCATTATGCCCAATCGTTTTCCCTATCTCCGCCACTCTCTGGCTTATGTCTGCCCTTCACATTCGATGTATCCATTGCCTCTGCTCGTTTTCATCTTGATTTATGACAAATTTCATTCTTGCAAGATGTCTTTAATCCTGACACCTGTGCATCCCCCTCTCAAAAAGGAAAAAAAAAAGTCTTCCGGGTTGAAAAAAAAATAAAAAGAAAGAAAGAAGAGAGGCGCCACCACGCCGTGGACCGCAGGAAGAGAGAAAAACAAATCTTGAATAGAGAGATTAATTAAAGAAAACTTTAGGGGTACTTGCAACAATTAAAACATTAATGCTTAATTCGGTTCGGTCCAAAAGAAATTCTCCATCCAAAAACAATTACAAAAAATGTAGGGCATTTCCAGGATATCTCTTAATAATTGTTGGTGGGCGTGGGGAGGGGCGAGCTGATGCCTCTTGTCCAAATATAGATTTCCAATTCTGCAATGAAGAATGACACTTTCAATAAAAGAAATATATTCAGGCATGCACGCCAATATTTTGTCTCTTATTAAAGGTCTTTTCATTCTTTCATGATTGAATTGTGCTTAACAACCCTATTAGGATGTTTTTTCCCTCACAATTAAGCGACCTCACAAATCTTAAAACAATGTTTGCTCACTCGCAAATGAACATTCAGACCACTACACGCAACTGCAAAATCATGATGGGACAGTTAAGGTTCTTTAGACCATGAAATAATTTGACGTTTTATATCTTTAATTTTGTTCAGTATAATTATAATTGACAATCTCTACTAACTTAACCGAAAAACCTATTCCTATTAAAGTATTGCGATTAACCTTCTGATACCCAATTTAGTTTGTTCTCTGGCAGTAGCTGTTTTTTGCAGGCTCTATTTTCCCAATCCATATCACATGAGTTCTTGTAATATTGATCTTAAGGCTCAATCAGTATCTTGGACCATGTAGAGAGAGAAACATATACACAAAATTGTTTGCCTCTAGGTTTTCCTTTGTAGGTGCCTATATATTGTTTCGAGAAGTGCCCCCTCTTTTTTTTTTGGTGCCCCCCACTCAACCGCCCCTGAGGACAATAACAGACCTGCCAACCTCTGGAGTTCAAAAACTGTATTCTTTAGTGTCAAAAGTTGTATTTTACTGACAAAAGTTGTATTCTTGAAAATAAACACGGATTGTTACTCGGATCAATGCCTCTTACAGTTTATACCTACAGGAAGAATTTTTTTTATTGATCATTGGTTGAATATGCATATTTCGCCACGACTGGTGTGTTCGATGAACCAATAAACATCCCCAAATTGCCGATGTGAGATGCTTGTAGGATACTTTACAGGACAGAATGGACATTTTGCCATTGAAAATGGCGGACGCACACACAAAATGTTAATTTTTTTTTTTTTTTTTTTTTTTTTTTTTGGGGGGGGGGGGGGGGGGGGGGGAATTGTATTTTATTAAGGAAAATCGCACTGTCGTATTCGCTTCTAAAAATCGTACTAATTACGACTAAATCGTACTGGTTGGCAGGTCTGCAATAATCGGGTAAGTGTAATCGGGTACGGTACCCGGATACCGGATATCCCTATCAATCCTCTGCTCTAGCTCTGCTCTGCTGACGTGTGGATAAAGCCGAACATTTTAGGTGATAATTTCTTTATTATTGCTTTGATTTTCTATTTGGTGAGGTATAACAATTATTATAAGTACCAGTATGTGTTTCAATGCTTTGTGTATGATTTGTGTGAATGTGAGCATTTAAAAATGGGATTAATGTCGAAGCGACTTTGTTTCGTGTGTCCATATGTTGAATCCTGTGTAATCTTTACTTTGTTCCTCGTCCGAGTAGCCTACTGACTGTTGCACAAAACGAAAGTCAAACAAAGTAAGACAGAGAAAAGTAAAACCACAGGAAACTTACGTATTCTTAATCTTACTTGTCTTTATCATAAGTTGTAGAAGTTTGATTTCATTAGAGAATAACTCTGTAAATGTTAGGTTGAATTTTGGTTGTGAAAAGCGAAAATAAATAACTTTTTATTTGTTTAAATAATTGTAGACCCTACACTGTCACATTTCCATTCAATGATTCAAGAAATCAAGGACAAGGTTATTGAAAATAGCTTCAAATTAAACGTTAGATTTGGCACCTAGGGCTAGGTTATATTTTTGTTTTTTATAAGCTCTGCTACAGCTTTTCTTTGTAGATCATATATGAGGAAAGATATTGAAATTTTCATTTTCAACTTGGAAACCCCAATTTTTTAAAAAGCATTTTCTTCTGCATTTTCCTGGTTCTAGAAGACTAGATCTATTAATTATATCTAAGTAACTTCTTTTTTTGTGTGTGCATGAATCGACAAGGGCAGTAACAACTGCAAGGCTGCAAATTTATGTATGATCTCAATTCCCTGAATTGAACTGGGTTAAACATGCTGATCTGAGTGGAATTTAAAAAATAATTGAGAGAGAGAGTAAAAAAAGTCTGTTGGTCGACGTTTTTGTGAGATCGTTTATCCTGTATTTCATCCAAGACTAAGACAACAATCTAAACCTTGAGCTGCACTGTCCTGTCCAAAATTGAGAATCCTTCAAATTGAATTATTGAATAAAATTGCTAAAAAATAAAAGCAACAGCAAAAAGAAGGGAAAACAAATATGAAAGAAACAGGGAAGGGTGTCTATGAAAGATCCATCTTTCACAAATTTTAATCTTCTCTTATAGATCTTCTTGGAACAGAAATCTTGGTGCTGGTCCTGAGAGAGCGTCCGTAAGAGGGACCTCTCCCCACCATCATGGTGGACCTGTGGTATCTCCTAGCACTCTTCCTGGTTCTTATTGTACAGGTAAGTAACTCTTATATAATATTGTATCTCTAGAATTCAGTTTTGACAGAGTCGGAATAGGCTGTTCAAGTGCATGAAGGGAGAAAAGGGACAAGGTAGTCTCTGGAAAGAAATGAGAGAGAGAGAGAGAGAGAGAGAGAGAGAGAGAGAGAGAGAGAGAGAGAGAGAAGAAAGGAAAAAGGGGGAAAGGAAGCTATATAACATGCAGGTAACAATAACAAACTGTCCAGTTTGGGGGATTAGTACAGATACAGTTTAAAAAATTAAACATTGACATATATAACATTTTTAAGATATGGGACTTAGATAAAGGAAACATACATGTTCTTGTAAATTAAATAAAAGTTGAAAGTATTTAGGAGGATATAAACAATGGGTAACATAATGTGTTAAGGTGTTTCCTTCTGTAAATATATATTTTTTAAGTATCGCTACATCTGCTGTCCAATAAACATCTTGCAATGCTCTGACTGTCATTGTGGCATAAAATTGAATAATGATTGGGACAACATATTTATGGGCCCTTCCAGTTTAAGAGGTTGCCTTTATGAGAAGACAAACAAAGCAAAGCAGTATGGAGAATATAATTTTTCAATTGTTATTCTTCCCTTGCAGGTAGCCAGGAGTGCCGGGAGCCTAGAGAAGCTATCGTCAGAGTTATGCCTCACCCAAGGATTCTCTTCCAACCTTCTGTGTAGTGCGTGTGGTAATTTAGGTGAATTCAAACTGAATGAGCTGGAAGGAACGTGTCGGCAGTGCTGCCAAGATGACGCTGAAGAAGATAACTTTACTGTAAGTTCAAGTTGTGCAAGTTCAGTGTCATTTCATTTCCTCTGAGTAAAAAGTTTTTCATGCACTTTTGTTTTTGATATGGTGGATTGAACAGGGCCAGACCTGACTAGCTACTATTTTTTGGTCTCTATTAATACTGAACAAACAGTTATTGTCTTGCAAATTGCAACGTATCTTGAACATTTTGGTAATGAATTAAAGAATACTTTGTAATAGAACAGCATGATAACAACTAAAGATATATTTCTTATTTACTCTTTGTCATTTTCACATTTGAAAGTCGAGTCTTTACTTTTAAGTTAACTTTCAGTGAAGTGAAGAAACAGATCAGGTCAGGTGCTTTCTGTTCATCATGTACTTGATGTATCTTTTCTCTTCTTTATTCTCTACCTTCCTCCCGACAGCCATTCCACCATGCTCATTTAGAAGTGTGCGGATGAAAATTGGGTCGGTTTCCACAGATCCAAGGTGAGTGTATTCTCCGTGTGTAGATACAGATGATTTCCATCATTCAAAGTTTTGTCTGTATCACCCTAGCACAAGTGCTTGAGGTTGATCATTAATTTCAGAAATAGAACGGTTTACTAACATATTCTAATTTTATGCATACTTTTTAAACAACGGTTGTTCTTGACAACCTGAAAGCTTGCCTGAGGCTTGCCCAACACAGCAACAAGTAATGTATACAGACTGAATTCCAAGCATTGTAGTAGTAATATAGTATAATAATAACTCATCACTAGTTCCCTAGGAAAGAAACATTATTAATTTGAATATGTTAGTAAACTGGTCTATTGAAAGAGAACAAGTAGTAGACTGTGGCAGTTGAAGGATGAAAATGTTTAAATTTGAGTAGATTGTCATTTTTAACACTGATTATTAATTGAGAGACGAAGTTCACATTTCATGTTGATGTAAACTTAGATATTAAGAACTTTATTCCATGTGCGTTTCATTTATTTTGGCAATAAGTAGTTTTAAGACTTCCACCTTATTCAGCAAGATACATGTATGTGATGTTAAAGTTTACCATTTTCATATAGGTTTATATTTATAGTATACCTAATTTGTTACATACATAAGTTTTTGTATGTATTGATGATATTCACATTTGTATAGCGCACATTACTATGTTTCTAAGCACTTTACATTGTAATTATCATTACCCTGGTCAATGGATTCAATTGCTAATCTGCACATGATAGCACACATGCTCTGGGGTATCGTCAATATTTTGTGTTCTTAAAGAGCTGGCATCAGTTACGATTGAATGTGTTCCTATTAACTTTTTTTTTAACTCTTTTCTTTTTGTGTTTATGTATTTGTATTTTGTCTTCTCAGCTTTTGTAAAGGGTGATAGGCCTAAAAAGTATCCAAACTTGAAAATCAAGGTAAGATAAACATGTATTCACATCTCTACTTAAGCAATAATTGCTACCTAAGCAGTTGAGTTTTCTTTTCTGAAATAATGACCCTAATGTAAATAAGTATATGTAGTTGTTTTACTCCTGTTAAAAAAAATTAAAAAAAGAGAAAAGGAAACCCTATCACCAATTCATCCCTTTCTCATTACAAGTTGATTGAAAGAAAAAGTCAATGTTATTTTCCTATCAACAAAATACAGAAAACACTATTATATTGCATTGTTTATGATAACTTGTGAACAGGTTAATGATTTGAAAATAAGTTCCGCTTTCTGTTTTCCTTTTTCTGCAGTATCTGCGAGGTGCGGATCCTGTTTTGAAGTTCTTGGATGAGAAGAACAAGGTCATCGAGACTCTAAGCATTGAGAAGTGGAACACCGACTCAGTTGACGAATTCCTTATGGAGAGACTTAAACCATCTCATTAAAGTTTTCACTTTTCCTCATTTCATTAATGATTTGAGGCAATAGAGAGATAAGTCAGTCACGTCAACACATTGCTTAACATTGCTATTTCTCTTTTCAAATAAAGTTCATTGAATTCATACTCCGGCACTGAATGGTGCATCCCATAATGTATGAGGAAGAAGCGAATGATTTAAAAAAAACTAGCCTTAAAACCCATTCATGCAGAGGATTACACATTTTTACAAGTAGAAAGAGAGAATATAATATCCAAATAAATCTTATAATATAGAATGAAATTCTGTTCTTGACGACCAAATAAATGTACAGAATAAACTCTTAAGAGGTGTAGTCTTCTAATTTTATATTAATGTATTTTTAATATTTTAAAAGCAATGTGTTGATGTTTTTCTGATTTCTGTGAAGATTAAATTGCCAGATATAGTTATGCTTCATTCAATACAACCAAACATTACCTCCTACAGTTTTATAAATAAGGAACCTTTTGTTAGCATTTGCTATTTAGCTGACCAAACCAGAAGTATTCAGTTGTTTGCAAAGTGCAGTCTTTCAGGGAACTTTGTGTTACCCAGAGGAATAATAAAAATAATATTTAGCTTTTATATAGCGCTTAATACAAATGTCTTTAAGCGCTTTCAAAATATACTATTTGTAATGATCATTAATAGGTGCATTCTTGAACTTAAATCGATTTATGAATGAATCTATTTCCCTTTTAATCATATTCCACCTTGTCTTATTCTATATTCATTGTTGTTTACTGATAACCAAGATTCTTGAATGAAGGATAACTATAGCAGACTCCATAGAGATTAAGCATAGTCTATGAAAGCAGATCAATAAACCAAATGGTGTGTTCTGTTGGATCCCAATGTATGCTTAATCTCATCTTCACACTCTCTTATGTATTATGTAACATGCTGTAAAACCAAAATATCTGCGAGATAGTTTCACCATTTTCATTCATAAGTTGTCCAGATTCTACAATGCCACATAATAGATTCACTACACTAAATTTAGCAATTCACATTTTTTTTGTGCCATTGTTACCAGTTTGCCAAGATTTTGTGTCGTGAAAGTTTTTGGTTACCGGTATACAGGTTGCAGGGCTCCTTACTAACTTTATGTCTGGACGTCATCGTTACATTTTTGTCAAACTCACAGGATGTACTTGTACTTTGTATCTCAATAGAACCAATTTTTGATATGGGAAGCCTTTTAAATCTTAGTCTATTGTTTGCCTATGAATACTCGTAGTGTTGAGCCCTGCAAAATTGCTTTTTTATTTGAACAAACTCAATCATGGGCAGTTTACAAATTGGTATGATGTCACAAAGGATATCACCTGTTTGGAGCCAGAAGGGCTTTATTTAGCTTATATCCTTTAAGACAGAGCTTACACCCTTGTTGCTCTGACCAGATGATATATCAATTGGTATAGAGATATATATTTATACATTTACCTTGTACTGGTTTTATGTGCATGTTCATTGTTTGATGTAAAAAAAAGTTTGTATGTTCGGGGAAGTTGTAGCTTTGAGTATCAATAAAATATTTGTAATTCATGTTCAGCAATTTTTTGTAATTTTGTGATTAATATCTTGGTGATCATGTCTCACTTATTAAATCAATCTGTTCTCAAGAATAAACTGTAAGGGATATTCAGTTAATTTATGTGCATCCGTTACCATACTACAGAAATACAAATATATAAGTATGTTAGGTCCATGTTGCACAGCTGACTAAATGCAATGGATAGTCTATTCAAACTTCATTAGTCATAGCAAGTTTAGTTACTGCCTGTAAGATGAAAAATTAATCCTCTTTTCCATGGTAGAATATTGTAATACACATGTATATAAAAATAATAAATATCTGCCTGCCTATTGTATGGAAAGTGGTTATTTGCCACATTTTTTCTTTATTCACTTATTGTTTTCCTCTGCTCACAACTCAATTTCTTTTCTTCTTTGGTCTTCCAATTCTTCTATCCCTCTTGACCACTTCCAACTCTCTTTATTCTGGTATGTTATACTTATAAAGCTAAGTTCTGGGCCCTGTTTCATAAAACTTCTCATCAATAACAAGTTACAATATCTCTAAGCTACTGCAATCGTGGCATTTGATTGGCCGAGATCAAATTTGTCATAGAAACTTGGTATTTTTCATTGAGAACAAGTTTTATGAAACGGGGGCCCAGGTCAAGCAACTAAATTGTGAAAGACACTATCTGGTATTGATTATGTAGAATTTGAGCATACTGTGAGTTTTGGAATCATTAGAAAATAAAGCAATGTACTTAGTCTTGCTGACAGTTGCGTTCAAGTTCAATTGAATATCAAATGTACATGTGGGACTACGAACACATGTGGCATGAAATTTGGTCCAAATTGTTCAGCTATTTATCATCTTATTTCGAAAATATAAGCATTTGAAGAGCAGTCCTATTCAGGGGACATTACTTTTATAGTCTTTCAAACTAACAAATAAAACGGGAAGGCTCACAATTCTTTTGAATTGTCTTTACCAAAACTCGACCTGTCTCTTTCTATACAAGTGTGCAAGGCTCAAAATACATGGGGGCGATGGACGATTCACCCCGTGAGCTACATAATCGCCTCCGTCAGATTGCTGACGGGGGCAATTGCAAAATTAAAAATCGCCCCCGTGGAATTATAAAATGAAGATTATCTTTTCTGTTATAACTTTCACACAATATTGAGTTTCAACTTTCAAACCTTAAACCAATGAAATGGAACTATATGGAAGTTAGATTAGCGTGCAGGATTTCTCGCTCAAATATTTTGGTGTCTAGATCGAGGCTGCCATATTATAAACTATATAAAAAATTTAGGAGGATCATGGATACCAATTCAATGGAAATTTGCATTAAAAAAAAGAGCCCCCGTTAGTACTAAAAGAGCTCCTGTGAGACGGCTCATGGGGGATTTTTTTTTTTGGAAGAGCCTCCGTGGACAAAAAATTAATTTGAGCCCTGCAAGTGTGTCACTATGATTTCCTCACTTCCATTCTGACCATCTCAATCTTTCACCCTCACCTTTCCTCATGATAGCAAATGTAAAAATATAGATCAACATTTTGAAAAACAACATAAACAAAATAATCAGTATCTGACAAACTAAAAATCAAATATTTCTTATATAATTTTTACTGAACAATATCTTGTGTTCACACATAATGATTGATTTTTCATATTTCATATGAACTTCATAATTTTCAAAGTACATGTACATTTATAGGTGAATTTAAAATAAGAACCTTTTATAGAAAAACATGACTGGTATGAATTGGAAGAAAAAAAACATAACATTAAATCCATCATGTCAATATTCAGCTGCAAATTAATACTGTTAATATTTTTTTCTATTTAGATATATGCATTTGGCAAGCTATCCTGTTATATATTTAAATTTACATAAATTTGCATAATCAAAATGGTCCACTAGTCATCTGGTTGGAAAATAAGTAGAAAGATACAATGAAATACATATATAACATACTTGGGATTACAATGAAAGACATAACATGTTGAGCTCCGACCTTGCTCTGGCGATTATTGCTCTGGGCTTGTTTTGTCAAATGAATAGGGTTACAATTAGGTTTGCAATTGGGTTTTATAGGTTAGGTTTAAGTTAGGCATTAATGTTAGGCATAGCGTTAGGTCTAGTGTTGGAGTTAGGAAATTAAAGTTAGAGTAATTATTGCAGAACTGAGAAGCAAGTGTCGCACAAACGATAATCTTCAGTCCTGGTAATAAGAAAAGAGAACACAATTGGATTAGAACCTAGGAAGATTTACAGTAAAAGAAATACTAATAAGATACATGTATCTGCCTCAAATATAAGATTACAAATTTATAACAGCTCAGAAACAGGTAAATAACGATAATTAAAAAAAAGGGATAACAATACACAGTGCATGGTGATTGACAGATCGCCATATTGCAAAATGAAATTGATGGAACATGCATGCGCATTACAAGTATATAATAGATAAGTAAAATATGATTAACAATACAAGATACAGTCTTCTGCATATCTGTCTTGGTCACGGTGGTTTTCATTTTATAGTCCTTTTAGTAATGTTTGTTTACCTTACATGATTTGCAAATCTATACATTCTGATTCTCTCAAAATGGGCTTTTCTTACGAAAACTATATGCCTGCCGGCTCAAAACTATTGATAAGTTGCAAACCAAGCAAAAATTAGGAGACATTTTCTTTAATTTTGTATTATTTTGTATAGATGTGTAAATTGAGTGTCACAATATATTCATATAACAGTCTTCATCCCTAATTGTATCAATAACATGTAGGAATTACAACTCATATAAACGGCCAATGTCACATCTGTACTGATATGAATATAGCCATACAAAGCGTTAAACAAAATTAAATATATATCATTCATAATACTGATCTGATCAATACTCTTTTGTAAAAATATGAAATTCCTGTAAACTATACATGTTTCTCTTGAACAGAGGTCTCAATTATCATTTGAAATTACAGGACATAAAATCTCATTTCTTTTTTTTTTATCTCACCATTCTTATCCATGTACTGATCTAACCAGCAGATCATGTAGGATTACACGGTCAGCTTAGGATAACAAGCCTACTTCATGCATTTGTGTCATATGTATATAAATGCATCTGATAAAAACCACTTGCACATAGTGACCAGGTCCATTGCTTATCAAGGCAGATGCCAGGCTTGCATGGTTTTTATCGAAAAGATGCCCAGGAGGTTTTTGTGCGTTTGTTTTTATTTCACTGGTGGATAAACAATCCAGAATAAATCATAGCAATTTTCTCTCAAAATACGATTCAAATACCAGAGCTCAAGATTAGCTTTAAGGTATGTACTACACCAGATCAAACTAATCTCCACCCAATATTTTAGCACTTAAGACTTCAGTGAAAGCACTTTATAAGCACTATTTTTAAAATTATTATTATTATTAATATCATCTGAAGCACATGGATCATACAAATATATATACAGTAAGTACTGATTTTAATTGAGTTGTCATTCATAAATTTCAGTCACATCTCAAACCTCCGAGTCATTGTGTGCCAAGCAGAAGGACTCGAGTGCATTTTGGGGGGTTAAATTTATAAATTGTTAATTTTTTATTTCAGAAGTATTATTTTCTGAAGTGTAATATAGCCATTATTAGCAAATTGGACGATGTGAACAAATGAACTCTTTTGCATAGATGTACCAGAAGTAAAAAAATAGTTGTTAATTTTTTTCTTCTGAAATAAAATTTCAGCGTCTGCACATCCTTTCATATCCTTCTGCCAGGCGCACAAGGAATTGACCTGTTCACATATGAACTCTTTGTTCATCTATACTGCTCCATTCACACTGGGCAATCCACATCACCCGCCTCCACATACACTGTCTTGAGTTGGGTGTAATGGTCTATGGTTGCAGTCCCGTTCTCCCTGCCTAGACCGGACTGCTTGTAGCCCCCAAAGGGCACCCCGGGTGGAAGGTTGTTGTAGTTGTTGATCCAGCAGTTTCCCGCTTCCAGTTGAGCTGCCACTCGGTGTGCTCTTTGCACATCTCTGCGAGAGAGAGAGAAAGTGAGAGTAAGAGTAAGAGAGAGAGAGAGAGGGAGAGAGAGATACAAAAAGGGAGAGGGAAAGGGGGAGAGAGAGAGAGAGAGGGAGAGAGACAAAGAGGGAGACAGAGAGAGAGGAGGAGAGAGGGAGGGAGGGAGAGGGAGAGAGAGGGAGAGAGATAGAGGGAGAGAGAGAGAAAGAGAGGGAGATGGAGGATACATAGGCAGAGAGATAGAGCAATGAAGAGATAGAAACAAAAGAGAGAATAACCAACTTGAGTAGACACATGATTTAGGTCAAACAAAGCAGTTTTTTACTCTCCTTGACTCACAACCTATCACTATTGGATTATATTTTTGTTATAAATGTGAAAAATTCTGTTCCAAGGCCTTTTTTTTAAAAACGAATTTGTTTATCCTCTTATTCAGTGTTGCAATTGTTACATAATCTACTCATCATTCCACCTAAAAAAGAAAAAGTTATGACATAAAGTGGCTAGCCGAGATCTTTTATCAAAAAATCTATAGAGGCATGTAAATATTTGGCTCATGATATAATGCTTCTTTGAATCTGTTAGGACCTTTATATCTGAAATGTGATTACTCAAAAATTGAGTCCTGTCACTAGTAATTAGCCAATCCATTCACATTATGCAACATTCACTCACTTTGTAAACAAGCCGCATGCCAGACCCAGCTGAGTATTATTGGCTCTCGTCACAGCTTCTTCCTCCGTGTCAAAGGTCATGATCGTCGCCACCGGACCAAAGACCTCCTCCCGTGAGATGACCATGTCGTCGGTGACATTGTCCATTATCGTGGGCAAGATGTAGAAGCCGTCCGCCAGGGCGGGGTCATCTGGTGTCACACGTTCACCCCCGTAAAGAATGGTGGCACCCTGGGGAGAAGAAAGAACGTCTTCTCTGTAATACTATATAAGCTGATATTTTTGCGTACAAACATTTTCGCGAATGACAGGCTAAGAGACAATTTCGCAAGTAGTTGCTTATAGCACACAGCAGAAATAATGAAAGGGCATGAAGTATTCACAAACTTTCTCACGCCAACACATACACACACAGATGTACCTCTTTCTTGGCCCCTTCAATGTACCCCATGACTTTGTCCTGGTGAGCCTTAGAGATCAGAGCTCCAAAGGTGGTGTCCTCCAGATGAGGATCACCAATCTTCATCTTCTTGGTCCTCTCGATGAATCTCTTCACAAACTCGTCCTTGATGCTTCGCTCCACGAATATCCTAGTCGCATTACTGCAAACCTGAATGGATGAGAGAGATTGTGAGAGAGAGAGAGAGAGAGAGAGAGAGAGAGAGAGAGAGAGAGAAGATAGGGAAAAGGAATGACCCAGTGAATACAGGTACACTAAATGGGGATAATGATTCCTGATCTTCATGGCCCTCTCAATGAATCTTTCAACACACTCCTCCTTAATGCTTATCTCTATAAACACCCTCGCTGCTACACTTGAAGGGGAGAGAGCTATTGAAATGATAGGTAAAACTATGGGGAACTTCAGTCCTCCCCCTATACTCACAGATCCCTCATAGAGAAATTAATAACAAGAAATACATTCTGGAAAGGCAGGGATACCCAAAACACTTTCCTACGTAATAAGCATAAATTATTCTGTAAAACAACATACATATATTTGCATCATCTAAATGTATGAAAAAGAAATCAAATGGGCAAGATAAACAAAGGAGCATACTGGTACATTTCACATGCTAGTTACTGCCAATAGTGAACTTTTGCATTGCTCTCCTCTCATGTACAATACCTGGTTTGTTTTTGTTTTTTTGACTTTGTTTTTCTTTTTCTTTTTTACCTCTCCCTGTGTGAGAAAGTTGGCCATGACTGCCCCTTTGGCTGCATTGTCTAGATCTGCATCGCTGAAGATCAGCAGAGGGGATTTCCCTCCAAGTTCAAGGGTCAAAGATTTGATATCATCAGCACAGCTCTTCATGATCTACCAGGAAAAGAAGTGAAAAGTGAATGTTCAGGTTATAAAAAAAAACAAAAAAACAAACAAACAACAAAGAAATAACATTATCGTATCATGAAAAGTGAAACTGATCACTGCATTGTCCAAATCTCTGCTTTAATCTCATTTGATCATCGACTCTGAATATTATTCCCTTGGTGGATTGTATACATTGCAAAGAGCTGATATTTTTGTTGAAATGCATCTTGTAATCCAATGAAAGCATTTAAATTACGTACCACTGGATATCTGTATGATAAATCCGATTTTGCATGTGGTCTTATTACACATAAGTATACTCTATTATTAGAAGACTGAAAAGTAAAGTCAAAGATCTATTACATATGAGTTTGCTCTCACAAAAAATGGGAATGAGAGTTTGGATGTGATGAAACTCAACAATTTTGGAAGGTATGTGTGCAAAATTGAGGACTAGTCTTTACCACTATCAAATTTGAAAATCTTGCATATATAATTTCTTTTCTTTACTTCTTGGAAAATTCTTGTCAGACACCCCCCCCCCCCCCCCCCACATTTAAAACTAGATGGAACTTTGACAGTCAAAAATGATGCCTCCGCCATAGAGCAATTTTACAAACCAAAACAGAAACAATTTTTAAATTCAAGTTTGATTGTAATCCATCTGTGGGTTTTAATGATAATGCATGCACAAGCTATTTTTGGCATACATAATGAGCCATGTGACCTTTGACCTTCGACCTGGTGACCCCAAAATCTATTCAGTTCATTGGCTCTGCAAGATACATACATGACTTGAGTTTGATAGTAATCTGTCTATTTGATCTCATGATAATGCGATCACAAGCTATTGTTGGATACATAAAGACCCCTGTGACCTTTGACCTGGTGACCCCAAAATCGAATCATTTCATTGGCTCTGCAAGATACATACATGACCTGAGTTTGGCAGGAATCCATCAATCGGTTCTTGAGATAATGCGATCACAAGCTATTTTGCAAACATAATGAGCCCTGTGACCTTTGACCTTCGACCTTGTGACCCCAAAATCTAGTCAGTTCATTGGCTCTGCAAGATACATCCATGACTTAAGTTTGGCAGGAATCCATCAATCAGTTCTTGAGATAACGCGAACGCGATCACGAGCCATTTTCGCATACATAATGAGCCCTGTGACATTTGACCTTGGATCTCGTGACCCCAAAATCTAATCAGTTCATTGGCTCTGTGAGATACATACATGACTCAAGTTTGGCAGGAATCCATAAATCGGTTCTTGAGATAACGCGATCACGAGCCATTTTCGCATAAATAACGAGCCCTGTGACCTTTGACCTTGGATCTCGTGACCACAAAATCTAATCAGTTCATTGGCTCTGTGAGATACATACATGACCCAAGTTTGGCGGGAATCAACCAATCGGTTCTTGAGATAACGCGATCACGAGAACGGGACGTACGGACAGACGTACGGACGGACGTACGGACGGACAACCCAAAAACATAATGCCTCCGGCTACTTTGTAGCGGAGGCATAAAAAACCTAGCGACACCACCCCCCCCCCCCCATCTTTGATGAGTCAGTATTGAGAGCATTAAGTACTCACGAGTTTACCAGTAGCCACACTCCCTGTGAATGAGACCTTCTTGACCCCAGGATGGCTGGTCAAGAAATGACCTGTTTCTCCTTCACCCTGCACCACATTGAATGCACCCTTGGGCAAACCACAATCTAAAACAGAGAAGAAGAAAAAATACATCTTAGTAGATTACTAGATATCTTCCCCTTTAAATATATCTCTTCCCCTTAACATACATCACTTCCAATATCCAATGCAAATGATTTTCAAGACAAAATATGATTGAAGTAAAAATCTGACACCAATCAGTATGTGTATAAGGTGGGGTGTCGTGGTCGAGTGGTTAAGGCGCTTGACTGGAGATGCGAAGGTTAAGGGTTTGAATCCCAACACAGCAGTAATATCCTTTGGCAAGATATGTACCTGCACTTGCTACTCTCCAACCAGGTGTTAATGGGTACCCGGTAGGATGCAAAAGTTTATGTGATTGGATGAGCAAGTGTGCGCTTGTAAAATGGCGACTGGCTGGAATGCTCCCCAGGGAGGGGAAAATGTGCATACATTATGTGCGGGTAAGCCTGAATCCGATGACTGGGGTAATAATATATCTGTAAAGCACTTAGGCACACCGTTGTATCAATGTATTGGGCGCTATATAAATGCGGAATATTATTATTATTATCATTATTATAATATCTCAACTATTTATCCTTACCTGCATAGACTTCTGCCAACAGCAATGCAGTGGCTGGAGTGAACTGGGAGGGTTTAAAGACCATGGTGTTCCCACAGGCTAGGGCTGGAGCTGACTTCCAGCCCGCCATCTGAATAGGGTAGTTCCATGCACCGATACCCACGCATACCCCCAGGGGTTCCCGACGGGTGTATGCAAAGGACCCACCAGGGCAGGGAATGTGCTGCCCTGTCAGTAGAGGAGAAGAGGTGTCACTTTAGTTTCTCATAATAACAAAGATGATAATGGAATTTGTAAACATAATAGTTAATGGCAATGGCTACATTACTCTCCTTTTGAACAGAGCATCACAATTTAAAAACAATTTTTAAAAAAAGTCTGAAAACAATTTGGAAAGTATTGCCAATTTTAGCTCTAGCAACTGTTTTTTTAGCACAATCTTCTAAGTAAACCATTTCGCTTATTTCCCATAATATTTAAAATAGACATGCTATGTAGAATTGCTGGAATTTATGAGGCGTGTGTGAAAACTATGTTTGGGATTTCAGATTAAAAGACAGAAAATCTAATCCTCACTTTTGGATCTAACACTCTATTATAAACCACAGAATTTGTGTTTTCGTATGAATCATTTCTAAATCTGCCACTTTAAACTCTGTATCAATATGAAATGTATCAATGTGAAATGAATCTACTGATTTTAAAAGGTGAAATAGTAATGAGAAAAAAAATTGTACCAGTCATAGATGGTGCCAGTCCTGCATAAAAATCGATAGCATCTATGGCAGACTGAATGTCACATCTGGCTTCCCAGATTGGTTTTCCGTTATTGGTGACCTCTAGTCTGGCAAAATCCTCTAGATTATCCTACACAAGAACAAACATAAATAAAATACATCATAATGCATAATATAATACCTTCATACTAGTATTCTTGAAGTATTGTTGAATCGCATAATATTGAAAATAAATGTTTTGTAGGAGAGGAGATGGAGAAGGGGTGGAGGAGAAGGAGGGGGAGGAGGAGGTGAAGTAGGAAAAGGAGGAAGAGAAGGAAAAGGAGAAGGAGAAGGAGAAGGAGAAGGAGAAGGAGAAGGAGAAGGAGGAGAAGGAAAATGAAAAGGAGGAAGAGAAGGAAAAGGAGAAGGAAAGGAGAAGGAGGAGAAGGAAAGGAGAAGGGGACGGGGAAGGAGAAGGAGGGGACGGGGAAGGAGAAGGTGGAGAAAAAGGAGAAAGAGAAAGAGGAGCAGAAAGAGGAGCAGAAGGAGGTGGGTGTTGTCAACTATTGCACTCAAAGTCTCGAGGAACAAGGAGAAGGCCACAAAGAAGAAGAAGAAAGCTATCATCCTGAGCCACCATAACAGGTACATGTACAGTGAGAATTATCCAAGTGAATATAAGAAAGACGTATTACACTTACTGCAAGTTTTCGAGCTGTTTTTTGCATGATCCTGGCTCTCTCGATGGCTGGTACTTGTGACCAAATCTGAAAGGCTTCTTGGGCAGCTTTCACAGCCCTGTCTACATCTGCTTTCCCGGAACTGGGGCTCTCACAAAGTATTTTACCTGCAAACCACAAAAAAATCAGGTATTAGAAATACTACCGAATAGTTTGAATACATTTATATTTACTTTATCAAATAGAATCACTTTAGTACATGGTCGAAAACTTTTCTCACAAATTTTCTTCCTTACTTCCTTGAGCAGCTTTACAATTCTTCAAAGTAAAGATCCACATTCCACGATCGCAATATAGCAATCTTGTATTAAAACAGAAATCCATTACAAAAATACAACTTTTAAGGAAACTCATGTATTTAATAGCAAATAAGGCCAGGATGCATTCATATCAGCTAACACTAAAAACTACCAACATCTCAAGTTAGTCATTAATAGTCATCATGATCAATCTTGTCCCTTATAGACTCTACTTAGGTTTACTTCCAATTATTTCCTTCAAATTTTCAAAAGTGATAGCATTTTAGTTTTTAGCATAGACATTTCAGTTCAGCTATAATGTGCTTAAAAAAATGTGCTACATGTGCTAAAAAAATGCCCGGTCTCAAAAACAAGTAAAATTAAATTAACATGTTAGTTATTACAAAACTTCATGTAACTGCTAGTGCTACTGTGCAACAGATGAACTTGTTTAGAATTAGAGTCTGTGTGATCGAACACGACATGGTCATTAGTCATTACGTGAAACACAGAAACCAATATCCTGAAAGAACACAGGTTAATTTTATTTTAAAATGTGATTGAGCTAGGGATATATATGTTTATAAAATGGCTCTAGTATTTTAAGCATCGTGATTGGTCAATACGCGTCACATGACATTGAAAAAAATTTGATGCAAGCACGATTTTGCAGAAATGAGTGCAGAAAAAGCGCAGTAAAAAGTTATATTGCACGGTGCGTACGCGTGACCATGGAGATCCAGTGCGCGCGCGTACGTGTAGTACGCGCTCCCTCGAGTTGCATTGCAATTATTGTAGGCTACGCGTAGCTAATATTGTACGCTCCACCATGATCCCCAGCGCAACGTACGCGTAGCTAGCTCTAGCTAGCTAGCTAGAGCGGCCAGCGGGGTATTATTAAAAAGCAAAATTTTATTTTACTTTTGCCTTGGATTTAGGCCTGTTTTGACTTTTGGATTTTATAATGAAGCCAGGAATTTCAGCTGTCTGATGTAGACTCGTCTCTAGACCCACTGTATGGATTTTATTTTTAATCAAGGCAATGAATCCCATTGACTTTTTGGTAAGCCTGCAAGGTCTTAGTCTAATTAGAAGTAGAACCAACATAACTCTAGATCTAGATCTAGATCGAACTCTCGTATACTCTAACTTATTAGATCTAAAGTTTCGTTTTTGCTATTTGTGTCGCTATTTTATAAAACAAATAACGCACTTGACCCTGTTGTGCAAAACGTAAATGCAGTAAACGCTCGGTTTCTTCAGATGGTTCGCACTGTCAACTCGCCGCAAGCGGCTCGTTGCACAGAGCGGCACCAATCTAAAGAAACCTCGCGCGTACTGCATTCACCGCTATTGCACTCTGGGACGTGCGTTATTTGTATACTATGAACCCAGGCCACATTTGTGCACTTAGGCAAGAACTCAAGCATGCCAGGGAAAAAATTAATATTTATTTTTCGGGGGCTACTTTTCAACCTTGCCTGCATGAAAATAACATTCTAAAATTTGTTTTGCATTGAACTCTATGCAAATTTACTGGGGCTCTTTTCTGATTTTCGGGGGCTCTTTTAGGCATTTCGGGGGCTAGATCTAATTCGCCCCGAGCCCCCGTGTATTTTTTTCACTGAAGCATGCGCATGTTATAAGAAGCTATCATCATATATTATTCAATTTAATTATTTAACAAACACTTTTTTCAATGATGAGAGACTTTTGTGAGTTTTGATCAAGTTTTGTCGACTCATCAGATAGGTAAAATGTGAATTTTCTTTTTAAACGAGAAGTGGTCAACTAAATTTATTTGTTAATCTTATAGGCCTAGATCTAGAGAGACAGACTACTAATACTGCCTTACTGGTACTAACACCACAAAAAAAATCCAACATATTACTGTGCTGTAGAGCTTGTGTCTGTATAGTTAGTAGGCGGAGCGCAGAGCCGCTGAGTCAAGAAAGATCAACACACCTGTTGCAGGCTCAACCACGGAGAAGTCTTGGCTTCTGTTGTCGTTGGTGGGCCGTACCCTTTCCCCGGCGATAAAGTTCAAAGGTTTAGTCCAGAAGCCATTTGAGCTATAACGTCTGGTGCTGCTAAGGAGGTACGGATAAGAAGTGCAGTTTTTGGCAAGATGTGACGACATGACGCTGATGAATTTGACAGAAAAGTGACAAAACTAACTAAATCTAGCGTGTTAATTTTTGCCGTTCTTGTTACATGCTGACCCAGCTGCTTAGCATGTTGACAATGCTATCGTTAAATTATGTAAATGATAACCAGCCCAAACTCGCTAGATAAATTTGCTTTTATTACTTTACAAGTTTATTTGAGAATTTATTCCATCTTTATATCAAATATTTGTTTAAAAAATAAGTGTTAAATTTTTATAAATTACATTTATATCAAAAATGTAAAAGATTTTACATAAATATTCAATAAAACAGATTTGTTAAAGACTAAATTATAACCGATTATAATTTTTTTAATATCGATTATGGTAAAACTTTCTGTCCAATCAGATCGCGCTAACCCTGATGTTGTTTCTTAATTATTTAGCAAAATGGATGATTCTGACATGGAAATTCTTGGTATTCCGCTCAACAGTGGGAGACCAGAAAGTAAACATACGTTGGACACAGTTCTGCAATCGAGGTAGCTATGCTTATTACTATTGGGTCATCTGTAAGTTTTTAACTCAAAATAGGTTTTAAAGGCCTCAAATTCATATCTTGATCCTGTCTCCTGCCCTGCCCTGGCCTGCCCTCCCCAGGGGCCTAGCGCCTTGGCTGTCGGGTACAGTTTAGCCGACCCTTTTCGCCAGGGATGTCTAGATCTACATGCAGTCTACTCTAGTCTCTCAACCTTTTCACACAGGGGTAAAATTCATCGTATTTAGGGCGCTAGTTCAGAAGTCTATCCAAACTTTGACCCGTAATTCTGGCGTGGAGATACCCTAACAAGTAGTCTAGATCTAGATTCTATACCAAAAATGGCAAAATGAAGTAGACTATTCAAAAGATCAAAAGAAGAATTTATACAAAACGACCACACCAACATTTTCTGTGTGTGAATGATGTTGTAGACTTTTCTAGACCATGTTCTAAACTTGTATCTAAACCTGATTTGTTTAAAGCTCTTTAAACTAATCAGCTTTAAAGAATTTTACCCCTGTGTGAAAAGGGTGGTCTGTCTTCGGGTCTGATTAGGTTGTGTTGCTGACATTGTCGCTCAGTCTTGCATGACGGAGTATTGTTGTTGTTGTTGTAATATGGTATTAGTCTATCGGCGTTTCATTCTTTTTTTTAGAATATTTAGATCTACGCCTATTGATGCCATGACCCATCTCATGTATGCATGAGTCAAGACGATGCACCTTTATTTTAAGGCTTGCATTTAGCTTTGTTTAGACTTTGTCTCTTGGAAGTTGGAGTCTTGTTGGACTAAACTATCTAGAGTCTACTCTACAGCCACTGAGCCAGGTGTCTGAACGATTTTTTCAATTTTCCCTTTGGGATCATTTTTCACTAGTTATGGTTGGATAATTGAAAAAAACATTTAATCAGAATAATACATTTCAGATTTCAAGACTCCCCAATGTTTCTATCAAAAGATACAGCACCTCATAATCTAGGCAATATTCATCCAATTTTTGTCAGAATCGACGGAAAAGATGTAGAGTTAATTTGTTTTGCTAAGTAAATTCATCTCTACTATAGTACTAGGTCTAGTACTAATAGGCATAGGCCTAGTATGTCCACACAAAAAAGGCTTTCAAGTTTCAATACAAAGCCAAATCAAAGCCGAAGTCAGACAAAGTCTTCAAAGACAAGCAGAATGTCTATGAGTATGACTATCTAAGTCTAGGCCTAGATATATTAGCTAGGCTACTCTACTTTTCTTCTTCTTCTTCAATACGTGTTGACAGACTTGTTAGTTTAATGTTAGTCCATATAAAGACACAGAAACTAGTACTGTCTCTAGACTTCTAGTCACTAGCTAGTCTGCATGATGCATCTGACCTCTACTCCTCTAAGAGTTAATTGTTAATGTTATGTTAAATCTGGATTTAGACACACTAATAATAAAATATTAGTAATTCTAATAGTTAGCTCTGGATCTACCTGAGATCTGGGTCTAAGGAACAAATCTAGTATTAGTAGTAATTAGTATGTATTTGAACTATATTCAATCAATGCTTTTGTCCTAGCAAATCTGCAAAGAAATCTGTGAAAGACAAACTGAAGGAAACAGAGACATTCCACCATCATCACACTGCTGCCTCAAAGAGCTCACATTGCAGGAAAAAGAGGAGGAAATCACATGCTGAACGAAACAACAAGAAGAAAAGACATGAAAAGGTTTGAAAGAATAAATTTATCTTACAAATAAACCTTTGTAATTTGCTAGTTTATGATCAATTCAATTTTATTACTGGTAACACTATGGGCATGATTACAAATCAAAGAACCCAACAAAACAGTGTTAACTTTGTGAATAATAATTTTAAAAATTATAAATTTCGGTCTAGATCTACTACCTTTGACAGGTCTGTGTGGAATCAAATATAAATTAAATCTGCCAAATGAAATTGGATACAAAACTAAATAAACATGATTTTCTTTTTGAATGTAGGCGAATGGAGGGTCAAGATCAGAATGTCAGAAACACCTTAGGCATGCTCAAGATATGACATCGGTAAGTAGAACATAACATCAGACATATCAAATGTCAGATTTTACATAATGAAAACAGATGAATATATCAAGGTTCAGAAAGTTGATTGATTGATCGATCTATAGTCTATCGAGAGAGAGAGAGAGAGAGAGGGAGAAAGAGACAGAATGCACGTTTCGTCCGACAGATATCCCATTACACTTTATGCTCTACACTTTGCTCCTTTGTTCAGCCATTGAAAGCCTGGATACCAGAAATGTGCCCTGGCAACAATTTCTCATCCTCCCAACTATTACCTGGGACCTAACACTATGCCAAACCAAAACCTCTACCCTAAACCTGATAACCCCATACCTTAAAGCCCCACTGCACTACTTATAGCTACTTGCGCCCTCTATATAGCAAACGATGCCTAATCATTGACCTTTGGTCCCCTTGATCTTCTTTTCTATTATGTTAATTGAGTGCTGATTTGATGAGATAACCACCTGCCAGTGACCTTGCAGGGTGGTCTAAAGTCCTGGAAACTAGTACAGATGGTCTTTAAATCAGAATACCATTAATTGATTCAAGATAGCAAGCCTACCTTTCAAAACTTAGAGATTTTAAATTAAAACTTCATATATGATGAATTATTGGAACAAATAAGGTAGTACAAGGATACTCTATTGTTTCTCTTCATTTTTGTAGAGTAACAAAATGGAATACCCCATGATGTCAGATCCTCACAAGCATGTGCCTCTTATTACACAGAGTAGAATCACTGTAAGTATGGACTTTGAATTTATTCTTTTACTGAACATTTCACTTATGTTTATCTGACTTAATCAGTCAAATAATGTAAACGCCAATATCAAAAATAATGTCGGGCTTTATTGTTTTATTTAATTGTTTTTGCTGTTGGAATTAGATGTCAGTGAAGAAAATGTTTATGTACAGTGTATGTTGTAAAAAATGAAGTTTTAAACTGAAACAGTACATTTTATAATGTTTCAGCTTAAAAATACTTCCAGTTACCTTTTTATCTTTTTCAATATTTTATTCAGACCTCCCTTGGCATGTATAACAAGGCCAAGAAATCAGACAGGATCTTACGAGGTAAGCATCAAAGCGATTTGAGATGCACTTAACAAATGTTATATTTTCCTTAAAATGCTTCTTTTTTACTAAACATTTTTTGGTTACTTGTTGAAGAAAGAGAACAATAGGGACTATCATAAGAAAAAGAAGAAGAAATCTATTAATATAAGTCTAGTGAAGGGAAAAATACTGATTTTTCATCCTGTTTGAAAGAAAACATATATAACTTTTGATAGCACTTTAAATTCATTTGTTAATTTGAAATTCTGAAATGAGCTTGACTTTCATTTAAAATTCATGAATTTATCACGATTCTGCACAATTGTCCATTTACATTTGAATCAATTTGCAATTACTGTTGGAACTCGTTTCAAAATTTCAGTTTTTTGCTTGTTTTGCTTTTGTTTGTTTAAACAGATTTGAAAATACCTGATGCTGTGAGGATCAAAACCCAGGAAAGCTTACTGAAGATACTTGATGTGTCGGAAGCTAACCTGCCACCAGCCCCAAACCTCGATTCACCCCTGATGCTGGATGACATGGGTCTAGGTCTAGTACAAGTAGTCCAGCCATCTTCTCCTGAAGCATATATTCAGGCATCAAGACCAGTCGCTGTTAGTTCAACTCCAAACCCAGTCGCTGTCATTCCGTGAGTACTATTATGAACACTTCTCAATGTCATCCAGTACTTTTTTGTGATGTCAATTTGTGAAATACATCTATAGGACTTGAAAGTACACCGCCCAATACACAATCCAGATGTGATCTGATTTTGAAGGAAACTATAACATTTGAAAATGTAAAGATGTAAAATATTCCTGATAATTGTTCCTAGTGGTCACATGAACAGTAGAACTGAAATTGCAGGAACTTCTTTGCAGTTTTGTCCAAATTAAGGTCAAGCTGGATTCAAATTAAGGACAGTCTGGCAAATGATCTGGGCCGTTGCACAAAACTTAACATTGATGGTAACTTTGTCATCAATGGTAACTACCATGGAAACCTAGAATTTGATTGGCTGTTGAGCCCTGTTACCATGGTAGTTGCCATTGATGGCAAAGTTACCATCAATGGTAAGTTTTATACAACAGGGCCCTGATATCTGGGTTGACTAATTGTTTAAAATCACGAGCATGTCAATGTGGTATGGTTTCCTACAAGCTGTGATACTACTGTAGAAACACTGAAGGGATTGATTTTGATGAAGCTTTTTCCCCCTATGAGAACTATCAGTACCGGTATATTGTTCTTTATTACCATTCTTGAAATATCCATTAAATATGATATTTACTTTCTTTTTTAGTTCTCACATGGATCAAAACAAAGGCTTATCAAGTCACAGAGAAAGGGCAGTGGATCTTGATATTACTCATACTAGGAATCACATTCTTCCTCTTAATACCAGTCCTGAGGTAGGTTTCTGTTTCACCAATTATTTCCTATCAAAAAAATGTTGGTTGTGTTTTATGATATTTTTGTTAGGTTATTTTACTGTGAGATAATTTTAAAAATGAAGAATAAATGTTTACTACCTCATCTGATGATTATGATCTAATGCAGATGTAGAAGTACTATTTGATTCTGAGTTTTTTTTCCCCTCAAATTTGCTATTGTAGTTGGAAAGAAGACTTCACATAAAGTCACCATGCATTTACATAAATATGGTACATGCAGAGAGTGAGTGAGAGAGAGAGAGAGAGAGAGAGGGAGAGAAGGGTTAAGAGAGCACACAAACTAGATAGAGTTAGAATCCTTTAGAATGAAAAATGAATTGCTGCTTCTCATCAATGTTTCAGATTGGTATAACATGAGAAAATAAGAAATTTTAGAACCCAGACCGCTCCTCCTTAATTCTGTGATGCATTTTATTTAAAAATGACATCTCAGGTAGATGTGGAATTATATTGATATGTTTTTTTTTGCTGAAAATATATGGCCCAAATTTATATCCGTTTTCATATTTATTGTGAAATTCCAAAATACAACAAACTAACCTATCAGATAGTACACTACATTTCATTTAATTGCTTTATCTACATATGTGCAAATTTAAATAAATCAAATATCTAGTTGTATTGTTGACATGTATGGTTTAAAAAAGGACTCAGATACAAAGTTTTTTTTATTTACCCTTTTTTCAGCTATCACCTGTCTCAGAAGCTGCGGAGATGATGCAGTCATCATTTAATCTCAATAGTGTCTTCCCTGGTAGAGGTATGTTGAAAATGAAAAATGAAAACAAAAATCCACTTATGAGCAGCATTTAAGGAAACCGTCAAAATGACAAAGTTTGCAAAATCCCATTGAAACATGTGTATAAAAGGTTACCCGGTACTTGCCTTTCAATCGGATGTCAGCAAACTTGTACTTATGTCACTTTAGTTAAATGATGCCCTTGTTTTCTTTACACGATTCATTTACTTTACATGCAGAATACCCTAACCCTACATAGTAGGCCTAAACAAAAAAGATGTTGTATTGCCCTTTAGGTGCCAGCACCTGGGTCGGTGTGTCAAATTTTTTTGCTCTCTTTGGGCTGATGCTTTAATACATATCTTTTGATTCATTAAGAGAATTTTTTAATATTTTTTAAATAAAAAGCCGACGATAGATTTAAGATTTTTTGGTCAGTCGCAAAGGGCAATACAATAAGTTTTTGTTACGCCTTAAGGTGAGGATTAGGGTGAGGAATGGGATCATGTTTAGGTTTAGGGTTAGTGTTAAGGGCTATGAATATGGTTTGGGGGGGGGGGGTTAATCTGCAATCGTTCCCCCTCCTAACTCTGACATAGAAAAATGAATCACCAAACAATATTATGCTCTTTATGTGTGGGTTCCACACCAGAATACTGTATTAAAGATGGGAATTTTAGCATCACTACTGTAAAGAGATATTGCATGTTGTAAGGTTCTAATTTACAAACTTTAGTCTGTTAAACTTTGAGCCATTTTCATTTGATGTATTGTTCCATAATATAGATCACCCTTCTACTCTACTTTAAGACAGTGAATTCACTTTTATTTTTGAATAATTTGAGTCCTTAGTATTCGATCAGAATATTGGTCTTGTGTTCTCTGTATTTGTTATTGATATTAATTATGGAAGCCAACCTAGAAGTTATTTATCAATTTTGTTTGTTCCCTTTCATTTAGACTACTTTTCAGAGATCAAAGACAGTCTTGTGAAACAACTACATAGACAAAGACAAAGGTGACTACAATATAATACTTTAATTGATCAGTTAACCAATTGAGTAATGTACAAGTACTACTTGTCATATTCAGAGTATAACAAGAAGGTCATCTCTCTTTAAAATACATTATTCTTTGTTTACTTGTTATTTATTATACAACCTAAGGCAATCCCTGTGTAACTTAGTCCCCATCTTTAAAATATGTGAATACAATATATCACAGATGGTACAAAGTTGGTTGATATAATGCTACAAAATATGTAAATAATGTTACAAAATCTGAACAGGCAAATGATGTGACCTCTGAAGTTTAATTGATTAAATGTATAACAGTACGGTAGTTAATCACTCAGCTTGAGAAAGTCCACAGGAGTAAACGAAAACTTGCACAACAAATTCAAGGTTGGTAGAAGCTTTATAAAACTACATTTTATCATTATCCCCAACCGATGAAAGTTTTCTGTATAACAGTATGTTTCTGTTTTACTTGAATGAAAATGAAAATTAATTTACAATGTTTTTGTTGGCTTCAGGTCTGCCCTGAAGACACCTCGAAAATCTCACATACCCACCAGGCGACACTCCTCAGTGAGGAAAAATCTTAACATGGAGTTTGAAAGAAAGTCAGGTCAGTAGTAAAAACATAGTCAGTCAAACCTATCTATAGCGACCGGCCAAGGGAAACACAAAAAGTGGCCTTTGTAGACAGGTTCCTTTAGTACATGATTCAATGAGAATGTGGCCTTTGTAGACAGGTGGTCACTAAAGCAGGTTTTACTGTATATGAGAAGGGATGGAACACAGTGAGGAATGAGGGAAGTTTTTTTAATTGTTATGAATAAGTTTGAAATCGGAGAGGTGGATAAGCACAAGAAGTAGAGATGAGGAAAATTAGGGAGCAAAGATTTTTTTTTAAAAGAGAGGGAGAAAGAGGAAGAAAAAGATATGGTATGTGTTGAGACATCAAGCAAGCTTGTTGTCATGACATTCTGTTATGTTTCATTTCTTTTTATGTATTTTACTTTTAATTTCTTCAGTATTACTGATGCTAATACCTTTAACAAATAAAAATAAATAGTACTAATTTGTTTTTTCTTTCTTTTTAAAGTTATGATCGATATCTCCTTTTTAAATTTAGATTACCTGTTTTGATTTTTAAATTCTAATTGTGCATAAATCAATTAACAAAATTTGTAATATTATAAAAAAACAACCTCTGGAAAGTTACACAGTAAATACTTTTGTTAAGTGTATGAATCTCAAATGTTTGGTTGATAATTTCAACTGCTCTTTCAAGCAAATTTATATATGAATTTTATCCCCCCCCCCCCCAAAAAAAAAATATATGAAAACATGACCTACAAAATTGTACTTTTTGACAGAATATGTCACTTTATGTTAGCTTTTCTAAGTTATCTTGCTTAAAAAATATGAGTCACATATTTTGGAAATAGCTTCCACATGTATGTTAAACCATGGACCTACGAGAGAGGTCCATGGTTAACTTGTAGGCTAATCATCCTTTTTTCTCTCCAGAGAGTGTAAAATCATCACTAATGTCTATGGACAGCAGTCACAGCAGTCTACAGCAAGGCGATGTTGTGAGAAGATCTGACCTGATCTCAAAGGTATCAAACCCGTCATCCGTATCTTTCATTTTTGTGCATTTCTCGAACTGTCATTGTACTTTTGAGAAGGATTGCAATAAGTGACATTTAGAACCTGTCCATTAGCTAAGGAGCAGTAAGCATTTAGATGTGTTTCAGTAAAAACACATGAGAAACGAAAGTGCTTTAATTGTAGGGAGCTCTAAAAGAGCTCTCAAATTGTCGAGAAAAAATAAATGAAATGCATGAAATAGCAGTTTTGAGGAAATCTTTGTTTTATATTAAGAAAGTCAAAATATTTAGATACATGTTTGAATATTTGATAGTGATTAAATTTTCACAGTTAAATATATCATAGAAACTTAATGAAACTTAATGTATTTGTAATTGGTCCACAGTGTACAACAGGCATATAAAATAGGTTGGTCATGGAGGGGACTGCTGAAAAGTAATATACAGAATGTTTATTAACAATGAACTTTTTTTCACGATCTTGATCCAGTCAAAAAGTCCACCCAGACTCAACGAGCCATCCCAGCCCGCTCACGTCCCAAGGGGTTCGTCCTCATCATTGACTGTGTCCAATGCTCCCCATACCATCACAGCACCTCCATCGGGCTTGATGAGAGTCAACGCATTTGAAGAGTGTGCAAGGACACTTCAAGACCAGCCCCCAGTGGATGAGTTCTTCCCTCGGGTTGAAACACAGGTATGTGAATTAATTGTTGTGAAGTTGATTGATTTGATTTAGTGGTATGCATGCAACACCTTTATTTATTCCTGGGTATTGAATTTGAATTATTGAAATTCACACAAAAAAAAGGTCAAACAAATCATCGTATCAGTTTAAAGAAGTAGAAAAATATGAAATCATTTATATCATCAAACTCATATTTAATTAATCTTATCTTCATGAAAGACAAGAAAATGAGGGAACCACTTTTCAACATAATGGGTACATTGGAAGTAAACATTATTTGTAACTATTCCCTAACCCAATTATACCCATAACCCATTTCACAAATATTTTGATTGCTGTCTATATAATTAATATAGATTTATGGGAGTAGAACATTTCAGGTCCTGTACGATTTTCCACTGTAACACATTCAAATCGACCAGCCTGATTAAATTGACTTGAACAGGTTCTGGTAATATAATTTTTCAGATTAATACATATAGAAAAAACGTGTACTAGAACTTTAAATCCATAAGAACTTTCTTGTCTTCTTATGCAGATGCTTCCTGGTGAACATACTGTCGACATGCTGGACTACATTCAACTCGGCTGTAGCGGCAACAGCGATAGCTTCTCCTACCCTGATCCTCATTACATGATAGGAGGCACCATCGTCCCTGTATCATCTCTCATCTACCCCCCTCATCTAGACCCTACTCTACCATTCCAGGAGGCTGAGAGACACACCATGCAATCAAGGAAACGCAGCAGTCAACATGGGATGATTACATTGCAGAAAGGGAAATATGAGCCATATGTCAGTGGTTCTGAAGACGATTCTCCCACCTACTCACTTCCGTTGCCCCTTCCTCTGGTTCTGCCCCCAAGCACAAGCTCCCCGAGCCCACCCCGACAAATGTTCAGACAGAGAATGTACTAGTTAGGACAGGTCCGGAGAGCAAGAAAACAATCAGCATAGGATGACTCTCCTTCAAAAGGGGAAATTTGAGCTATATATGTCATTATATACCTCACTTAAGTAATCCAGCAATCTGATTGGTCGAAATTGCATTCATAAACTTTAACTGTTCCCGAAAATTCCCGGTAACCATGGTTAAAAAACAGTTCAAAATCCCAATAACCATGGTTATTAGGAAAATAGGTCAGTCTCTATGGTTACCCCATAGGTTTACATGTTAAAAAATGGTCTGAGCGATCGAGGATACCGTACGTGTGCGAAGAATTGGTCGGTAATTTCAATACAATTGAATCTCGATCGATCTTACCGACAATTTTATCTTGCATTGTTGACATGAAGACGAAAATAAACTTCCAAAAACAAAAAAACAACATCTGCCGATAGATCTTGATCTAAGTTCGTGCCAATATGCATTGCAAAAGTAAAAGAAGGGCCCGTTTAATGGAGCAGCGGCGAAGCATCGACCACGCGAAGCCGTTTTCAATTCATTTTAATGTATATATTGAAGAAAACTGCTGTGCATTGTGACATAGCGCGCTGGCCGAGCGGTTTGAGGCGCTGACTGTACTTCCATCACCTTTTGTACGCAAGAGTTCGAATCCCATCTTCGACAAAAGTTTTTTTTTTTTTTTTTTTTTTTTTTTTTTTTTTGCATATAAAAGTATTAATGACTGCTTTAATATTCGAGAAATAGTTGTTTTTATACGCTCTCGGGAAGGTTACAATTGGGCTATTCCCCTCGGCACGCCTCGGGTAATAGCACAATTCTAACCTTCCCTTGAGCGTATAAAAACAACTATTTCTCTCAAAGCAGTCATTAATACTATACTATTTCTCACTAGAGGATTTGCCCATCTGCATCCACAAGAGCCCCCTTTTCCTGTGCTCCTCCCCCCCCCAGCTCCCAAAGTTTCCAAGCCCACCCGTAATATTAGATGAACTCAAGATTTTTATTGAGGCTCTTAAATGAATTATTACTTCAGGGACCCCCCCCCCCCCCCCCCACTTCAGTATGTTTTTTGTTGTCACATTGATGTTCATACTAAAATTTGAAAAAAAATAGTGCTTGAATAAGTTGTTTTGGTGGGATGATATAATTATACATAAAAGCTGTACACAATTTGTATTGTTTTTGTTGTTGTAAGGATTGGTCCCTATATATGTTATTATCTACGAATTTCTTTAAAATTAGTAACAAATTCAGAACTTTTATAAGTATTCTATGAACTTGCATGAATTTGGAATTTGATTCCTCATCATGACAAAAAAAGATATGTGATTGAAAAAAGTAAAGTACAACAGATACTTAAAGAATTAAAAAATGTTGAGATATGTTAATTCTGTTTAATCTTTTCAGTACTTATGTTTTTTTCTTCTAACAGTCATTATACGGGGAGCGGATAGGATAAGGGGAGACAATACCCACCTTTGCAGGTAGTGGGGGAGATAATTTTAAGACACATACAAATAGGAGTATGCTTGTGTGGCCATTCCATAGTATTATATACAAGAGGATGATTGTGTAAATAATTCATGTAAATATGTAAGTAGATGTATGTTTATATCTTCAATAAAATTGTTGATGAACAAGACAACCGGTGTTATGATTGGAAAGTGCATTATACACCCCCTCCCCCCAAAAAAAGAGAGAAAAGAAATAGCAAATTTATGTTCTTTGGGGAGATCGACAGCCTCATCTTAATTTTCTTTTCTGTTAACAAAATGAAAGCTGTGATATATAGTGAGAATAAAGATGATCATTTGAGAGATGTATACCGTAATTATATATGTAGATATTTATATCCCAAAAATATAGATGATGAATAGGAGTAAAGAACCCCCTCCCCTAAAAGAAAAAAAAATTAAGGCTAAAGTATATAGGTGAGAGAGAGAAAAAAAAGTGAATTGTAGGTGAAGCATGGAAAAAAAAGTGTGTGTGCAGAGAGAGAGAGAGAGAGAGAGAGAGAGAGAGAGGGGGGGGGGGGGGGTTACGAATGGTATGATCCCAGTGGATTGTCATTGATATATAAACGAATGATACTGCATGAAGTAGATATTAGATAGGAAAAGTATGGTTGGGATGAGGGGAACATTGCAGGCCTGTAATCTCCAAGCAGAGGCAAGGAGCTATACTGATGAGGGGATGCACTACGGCCTTAGACCGAATTTTCTATCTCTTTTGTTCGTTAAAGAGACGGAAAATTTGGTCTAGTACGGCCCCTGTCCCCTCCTCAATGCCCCCCCCCCCCCCCCTCCTCCCCCTCCCAACCCGGGCACACACCCTTATTAGGCCTATATTACGGGGTGCACATACTCTTTCACAAATTAAAAATCTAGGCTCTCGATCAAGATTTCACCTCCACACCTGCCAACCCACTTCTTGTTCCTGATTGGCTGAAATGCTGTTTTTCGCGCGAATGTGATACATACACATCATAACAATAGCCGTGTACTGTACTGCACTGTGAATGAATGAATCTGGTGCGGGGCAGATCCGAGTACCTATAGTACACGACACGTGCATTAGCACTGCACAACAACGTGTATTAGCACAGCACAACAACGTATAAAGTGCTATTGATTTTCATTGATTCTGTAATCTATAAAATGTCAGATGTGTGTTTATTTTGCCTGCATGTCTAACTCTAAGAACAGTTACAGATACAGCGAAGTAAAGGATAGTTGGAACTAGTAGGATAGCATATCCATGAGCAGGTAAGGCAGCTAAATAATTTCTAACTAGACCTAGAGTAAGCTAGTAAGATATTGACGATTTTATTATGCTTCTCTTTGACAGAAAAATCCGTCTGGTTGAACTGTTGAATGTGGTGAGATCGAGATCATGCAAGTTAAGACGGGCATTGCATTACGGCACGAGTAGTTTGATAACGTTGTGACTTGTGTTATGCAATATGGGCGTTCATTGTCCAGGTAGCGTTATTTTTTTATGCGGCACAGATTGGGGCTTTTTTTTAAAAGGGGTCTTGATTTACAGACTAATAGTGGTCGTGTGCGTACTAGTAGTAGAGGTCTGTTTTTAATAGTGTTACATGTAATCCACTACCGTATGGAAAAGCATTACATCAACAATTAAAATGCAATTGGAAATCTGAAGAGGAGGCAGCACGTCAATAAGGAGAACATCACAATAATTAGTCAATAAAACTTAATTAACTTAAACGAAGAGGAATGTTATCTAAACACATAGTTCGCGATGGATATTCAAACTTCTTCGCAGCGCTAATGCGCTAGCGAACATGCCTAGTCTCACGTACATGTACGTGCAGACACTATTCAGAAGGGAAAGCACGTACTTCCCATAGGCTCAACACGCACCATGCCCCAATCTGTGCCGCATAAAAAAATAACGCGTCCAGGTATGACGTCTGTGAGAGTGTGAGTAGTAGTCTAGCTACATAACGTGAACACATTTTAATCTTAAGCTGTTAATTTTAGTGTTATTGTTAGTAGACTTTCTAGACTAGAGATTTCGGCAGTAGTTCTGGAGTCTATCCAAAAATTGACCCGTAACTCCAGCGTGGAAATAATAACTAAAAGTACCCAAAATGAAGTAAATATTCATCAAATGTCCAAATAAACGTCATGATTTTAAAGTAGATTATGTTGTCACCTGCTGTGTCAATTTTCTTATCTTAGATAGGTCTAGTCTAATATGCACTTTCTCACGGGATTCACGGCAAACTGAAACGCAATATTATACCATTGCATACTACGTCCCGCGGTCGGGAGCGGGCGCGCGCGTGTGTGTTAAATTAGCGACTGTAATCGTTAGCGGTCGCTAACTGAACACGCGCTCGCCCGCACCCAACCGTCGGTACAGATTAGGCCATGTAAAATTGATTACATGTTGATCGTCCGGATTTTTTGAAAAAGAGGAGGAGGGTGTACCATGTTATTTGATATTTGATATTTTTCCCAAGATGGCTGCCGCGTGTACAAATAGTATATAATTGAATATGTACATCAACCAACGTTGCTGTAGTGAGTTTGATTTGCCCTAAAATATCAATTTTGGCTTTCTTCAACAGGTTTCTTTTTGTCTATTTTTAAATATTAAATGTTGCCTTTATTTTAAATATGTAATTTGTAAATATATTGTCATTTTTGTTTTGATTTTGTAATTGTTGTTTTAACATTTATGTAGATCTACATGAATGACATGATATTTAACATTTTCATTGGAAGCCTTGAAGGCGTACCTACAGGCTAGCTTTGGTCTATCCAAGTCTGCACTACAGGAAGCTGCCTCAAGCAGAGGACGCCAACTAAATGACATGCATACTACCATCACGTCATGATATTGAATGCCAAGTACCGGTATTAAATCCTCACTCCAACATTGAAAGTACCAAGGGTGATGACCCATGCATGTATAAATCGAAATCCAGCTATGCTGCATATACCCTACCAAAGGAGTGCCAGAATGGGAGTATATGCCAGAAACCACTACCAAGATTTGTTGACTGTATCAAATGTTAAGGGCAAAACCCAATGCTCTCTCTTTCCTGAAAAGAAAAACACTGAGAACACATATATATAGATCAAATTTCAACTCTATATTTATTTTTTGACAAAGAATTAAAACAAGCTGTACTCGATTTTTTTTTTTTTTTTTTTTTAAATTTAAAAAAAAAAAAAAAAAAAAAAAAAAATATATATATATATCAAATATCAAATATAAGGAGGCGGGCGGAAAAAAGGAAGCGGACGGGGACGATCAACATGACATCAATTTTACATGGCCTTATGGCAAAGTAATGGCAGGTTTGCTGCGACACTTCCCCAGCTGTTTCACGTAAAAAACTAGACCAAATTTTTCTGTCTCTTTCGTTCGTTAGCCTCTGATTTGGGTAGGGTCGGCTCTCTCTCTTTAGAGACAGAACAGCCCTATACGCTTTAGTGTTCACGCTTTGTGTATAGAAACGTTACACCAAACTTGGCAAA